TTGAGAAAGATTTATTCAAATTAATGAATAATTCTGTGTATGGAAAAACTATGGAAGACAAACGAAATCATATGGACTTTGAATTAGTTGATAATGAAGTTAGATACGAAAAATGTGTTAATAATCCAACATTCAAAAATAGATTTATTATTAATGAAAACCTTGTAGGAGTTGAAAAAACTAAAGCGAAGCTGAAACTGGACAAACCGATTTTCTTAGGAATGACAATCCTTGACATCAGTAAATTACATATGTATCAGTTCTACTATGATGTTCTTAAGAAGAAATACAATGAAAACATCAAACTGGTTTATACTGATACTGACAGTTATGTAATTCAAACATTCACTGAGGACATCTACAAGGACTTCAAAGAATTAAACCAATATATGGACTTTAGCGATTATCCACCTGAACACCCCTGCCATGACAAAACAAATAAGAAAAAACTCGGTTATTTCAAGGATGAGTGCAACGGTCAAACAATAACACAATTCATAGGGTTAAAGCCTAAATCGTATGCTTTTACAATACACGGTGAAGAAGAAGAACAAAAGAAATCAAAAGGTGTAGTGAAACACAAGGTGAAGAAAGAACTGACTTACCAAAACTACCACGAAGCATTATTTCAAAACAAAAAGCATGAAATAACATATAATTTTATTCGTAGTCGCAACCATCAATTATTTTCAATGTCTCAAGTCAAGCAATCACTCAGTAATTATGAAAATAAAAGGTTTTACATTGATGCTTTCAATTCACTGCCTTATGGACATTATAAACTGCGTTAAAGAAAAGATAACTAAGGTTATTAATGGATAGCAGTAAATATAAAAACGCAAAGATTTACAAAATAACAGATGTTGGTTATAATAAGTGCTACATCGGAAGCACCTGTGAAAGCTTGAGCCAAAGAATGGCAAGACATAGACAAAATTATAACAAGGCAGAACAATGGAATAATAAAACAAACTGTCGTTTGTTGTTTGATGAATATGGAATGGACAACTGTAAGATTGAATTATTAGAAGACTACCCATGTGAAAACAGAGAACAGTTAATGAAAAGAGAAGGTTATTACATTCAAAATAATGATTGTGTGAATAGATGTGTGGCAGGTAGAACAATTAATGAGTGGAAGGAAGACAATAAGGAACACTATCAAAATATGAGGAAGGAATACGCAGAAAACAACAAAGAACATATATGTAATAAAAGTAGGGAGCACTACCACCAAAACAAAGAAACAATATTGGAAAAACGAAAAGAACCTATTGAATGTGAATGTGGTGGTGTTTTCAGGAAATGTGATATAAGAAGACACGAGAGAACTGAAAAACATCAACGATATGTATGTGAAAATATTAATATCTAAATAGTTCTAATAATATATGCACTTATTAGAACTATTTAGTGGTACTTCTTCAGTTGGTAAAGTAGCAAAGTCGCTCGGTTATAATGTTATATCATTGGATTTGAAAACGGTGGGTAAACTCCCCAATTAAGGGGGGCGAACTCCCCAATTAAGGGGGGCGAACTCCCCAATTAAGGGGGGCGAACTCCCCAATTAAGGGGGGCGAACTCCCCAATTAAGGGGGGCGAACTCCCCAATTAAGGGGGGCGAACTCCCCAATTAAGGGGGGCGAACTCCCCAATTAAGGGGGGCGAACTGGCTCAAGGCTCAAGTAACAAGGTCTGGCTCACACAACACAGTCAGGCTCACACAACACAGTCAGGCTCACACAGCAAGGTTTGGCTCACACAGTAAGGTCTGGCTCGCACAGCAAGGTCTGGCTCACACAGACATTTAAATTAAACCTGAAACCCAGACCAGCTGACCAGCAACCCCCTAGTCAAAACTACTTAAAGAAAAAATAGCATAACATATTAAGAGAAAAATGAACTATGATGAAATCAACAGTTATATTAATAAGAAATGCTATGATTGTTGCCACTTCAAAAAAGAAAATATGGAATTATACAAATTGAATTTACCTAATGGAATAGTAAATAATATTACTGATTATGCTCTGAGTGAAGAAGATGTATGTAGAACTTGTAGAAGATGGAGACGATATCAAAATATGATAGAAAATTTTTGGAGATTAAAAAAATAGATGAAAGAAATGTTGAAGATGACATTTTGATATTTTTAACTGATGTATGAAATACCACCTCACAGAGCATTTATGACATGATTGATGAAATCAGTATGGATGTGACATGATTGATGATATATTATGGATGTTGGGTTATAGTCAAGAGAAAGGAGAAGATGTTAAAGAAAATATCAAATTATTTATTGAAAGTAAAAAGTTTAATGTTCAAAATACAGTGAGAGATATTAATATTATTTTTAAAATGGTGTATGAAAGAAGTAAGACAAATCAATTAAATTATTATCCTGTATTGGGATTATAATCATACTATAATAATAACATGTAAAATCTTATATGTTATAATTATACTGAACGTTTAACCTATAAATGAAAATTAATGAGAAACATACTAACAAAACAAATGCACCGCCAACACCCCAGAACTTGATAACTACTAAAAGGGCTACCTCTTTCAAATGAAAAAAATGTTTGCCCCCAGCCCAACAATGAACAAGGGGGGCAATTACCCAAATGATTACCTTAACGAAAACGATAAATAAGCTCCCTAAAAACCCTCTTTTCAAAACGAATAAGGGGGAACATAGATTTGAGATGAACATAAAAACCAGAACAGGCAACCATCAACAGACCACCCCCCAGGCCCCCTACTTTCTCCATTTTTTCGGGGTGGGGGGGTGCGCTGCTTTTTGGGCGAAATTGGGTTGTGGTGGGTTTTGGTGGGGGGGTTGGGGTTTGGAAGCTTCCTGGGGGGGGTTGACGGTTTGACCGACGCGCCGGGGGGGGGGGGGGGTTGCTGGTTGTGGTGGGTTGTGGTGGGGTGTTTGGTGGTGTGAGGCGTTTGGGGGTTTGGTGGGTTGTATGTGCGTGGTGTGTGGGGTTTTGTGGTTTTTGGTGGGTTGTGAGCGCTTCCCAAAACGTTGGTATTCAAAGGGCCGTTTTACGGGCTACTATGTTGGGAACCCGCGACTAATCAACCTAAAACAAACTTGGGTTGAGTTAGAGCTTGGGGTCCTGGTTCTCCCCATGATTTCCGAAAGGTGCGCGGGTTTGTGGAACCCTATGTTCGAACAGAATCAAATTATGCTTGTTTGCCCCATGGCCACTGGACGTTTGGGGGGGGGGGGGGGCTGGGAATGAAACAGCGTGTAGGACGGGAATGGGGTGTGGTTGGACACTTGGAATGCGGTTGTATGGGGTAGCTGGGCGCTAAACAGTCCATATTAACCAAAAAGGTATCCGATGCATTTGTTCGCACCAGTCTGGTTTGTTTCCATGTTGTCACCAAAAATGGATCAGGGCTCGTGGCCCCCCCCCCCCAACCCAATGGTCATGGTACCCCCCACCCCCTCTGTGGGTGTGGTGCCGGTTTCTTGCGATTATGGTTGTGGTTATGGTTCCCGCCCTCCCCTCTGTGGTGTGGGGTGTTGGTTTGGAGGGCAAGTCAGGCTTCGTTGAGGGTAGGCCGGGGAGGGGGGCGGGGGGAGCCTGGGGAGCTGGGGGGACCATACCATGGCGGGGGAGGGGGGGGGCTGGCAACCCTGGACACTGACCCATCTATATATATATATATACATACATATATGATATGTTTGTCATTTTTCCAGACCACCCCATTAAGCCCCCAGGTCGCCGGGTGGGGGTGCCACTTGTTTTCGGCTGACGCATACCGAGGTCAGGGTCAAGGCGCAGGCCGGACAGTCGCTTGATCCAATGATCGCAGCGCTTCAACGGATTCCAAGCTTGCCTAGAGGATTCCGCCCCCATTTTCTCCGCTTTTTTGGGGAAGGGTTCCGATTCCCTTGAACTCAACCAACCAAAACGGGTGCCGATTCTTTTTCCCACGGCCACTCGGCATTTGAGTGGACCAAGGGAGTTCCCAGAAGGAAAGTGGTCTTCCAGAACCCTCCTGTCAGCTTCCAGCATTGGACGGAGGGTGCTACCCAGATTAGCAGACAGTTCTACTGATCTTAGTTGGCGTCTCTAGAAGCCTTTGAGAACATTCCCCGCCCCCTTGAGAATGGAATTGGAGGAGGAGTTCCGTTTGTAGTTCCCTTTCCCCTTTTGTGGGGAAGGCTACAAGAATGGAATTGGGGGACCCCCCACCCCCTCTCCATTCCATACCCGCCTGGACCTTCATTCGTTACATAAATTCGTGTCCCTTGGGTATTTCGTAGCAGTGTTTTGCTAATTGGGCGTTTTTTAGGAGAACGGGCGCAAGTTTGGATTCGAGCATGTTTAGCTATTGCGGCGGCTTCTCTCTTGTCATATAGTCTGTTGCGTGGAAACATGTGGACACATACTCGCAAAACGAGCTCCAATCCAAATCATGCAAGAATTGGTATTGTGCAAGAAGCTGGTGTTCATGAAACGAGCGTTTTCTGCGAACAAGCATTTTGTTGGATCATTGGGCAAAAATAGGTGGCCCGATCATTTTGTTTTTTGTGACCAACCTTTATGTAACAATGGAAGATCCAGGCGTGTTGGTAGAAGTTAAAGGATTTTGGGCGCTGCTGCAAGCTGAGGTTTGTTAGAACCCCCCCCCCGAGTACGTACTGCACTCTCGTCGAACGTCCCAATTGAATCATCCTACTTCTGCGGCATCTATCATGGCAGGCGGGTCAGCAGACCCTCAAGCAGTTTTGAGTGGAGCATGTGAGTGTGTCGCAAGATGGGGGGGCCCGCAAAATGGATGTTTGTTTGCCCTTTGGCTTCATGTCCTAAAGCAAACTGAAAAGGGTTCGGTCCAAAGGTCACACCCATATCGTCGCCTGCCTCGCCAATCATTTTGTTGTGAGTTGACAGTTCTGAAGATACCTTACTCTCACGGCCCCGGCAACTCGCTCAGAATGCACCAGGGGGAGCATACGTTATCAGGAGCCTATGGGAGCTCGTGCCAGCCGGGTGACTAAGTATAAAGTTGTGGGGTAGGGGGGGGGTAAATGTTTCTAAATGAGGACACCCACCAACATGTGCCCCGGGGAATGAATGATGTAACACCTTTCAAAAAGAGGTCCCATATTTTGAGAAACCGGCGAGCCAGGTGGCTATGCGGGAGAAGCCGTGAGTCTTCTGAAGCGCTGCCGATCAAAAGGAGATCAGGACCCGCTTGTGCTGGAGGGACAGTGCTTTGAGACTCCTTTCTTGAAGGCGTATCTTCTATTTGCTTAAGACTATGTTTTCCCCTCTTGGTTTTAAAGGGAATCTATCACTACTGGAAATGTTGTATTTTTCCAGGGCCTTAAACAAATGGAATTGACATTTTGTTAATTTCCACCAATACCCATCAAGGGTGCCAATCAAGATGAGTGCTCCCTTTGTGACTAAGAAACGGGGACCGTTGCCTGCTGTTTTAGTTGTTTTGGATGTTCAGGTTCCGCAACCATTGTGAGAGGTGTTCAAACCCCTGAATTGGTTGGGAAGGGCCCCTCTGTTTCCCCAGCAATGATGGAAGTGGACGGGAGGGGGTTGGTTCACTATCGTTCTCTTGAAAAGGTTGTGGGAGAAGGGGCGCTGTGGATGGACGAAATCCTGCACCACCCATAGGAACCATAGGAAACGGGAATCATGTTTCCAGGGTTTCTCAGGTGGTGCGTTGGATGAATTTCGCAACCATCCACAGTACCTTGCAGCATGTTTCCCTTTTTTTGGGGGGACGCCCCAACGGTCCCCCAAACCCAAGGGCTCGCTTTAAAGTAACACATCCGGACAGGGGGGCCGTGAGGAGTTGGTTTTATCTAAGCGTGTGAGCTCGGACAAGGTTGCCCCAAAAAGGACCCTGGAAGGGTCGAAGCGCCCAAAGAAAAGCAAAGGAAAGAATTGGGTTCCCGTTTTCTACCCATTTGCTTGAGACGTTTGTTTGGAACCTCCCTCATTTCCTACCCTGGGAGGCGAAGCCTGCTGTGAGTTGACTTTCAGCGATCCTTCTCGGAAATGGTTCGAAGGAGAAACATGTGATTTCTGATGATTTCTGGACGCAAGGATAAGCGTGGAAAAGAACACCTCTAGAAATCCTGAAGCAAACCCATTGATCCCAGATACCGCTATAAGCAACCAGGTGTTCTTACCTCTTCGTTTGATGGTTTGCCCTGGTTACCTACTCTGGTAGCTGAAAGCACTGGGAATGATAATACGTCTAGGGGTACCTTTCCCATTCTTTCCCGAAATCCTTCTTTCTAGAAAACCACTAGAAACCCAGGAAACGGTCTGTTTTTTTGGGGCTACCCCATTTTTGGTGGCTGAAAGCACTGGCAATGAGAACAACTTTCACTTGCTCAAATGAACATGTTTCATCATCCCCGGGTGTCTAAAGGGAATATGCCACTACCGTAGATATGTTTGTTTGTTTTCCAGGCGACTGGAGCCAATGGAAGATACTGTGGGTGGACGAAATCCTGCACCACCTAAGAAGCCCTGGAAGTATGATTCCCCTGTAACTACCAACAGATATGGTTTCCCAGGCTTCAAAATAGTGCGAAATGGATTTCGCAACCATTCACAGTATGAGATCCTTGGGCGTTCGTCTCGCCATGGAGCTCCTTCCGGCGCTGAAGCCGGCTTTCCCTGCGATTGGCGCGCCCCGCGTCTCGTTTCCCGGGCAGCGGCGGAACGTGTCCGGCGGTGCGTCGTATGCCGGCGTCGGGAAGGCCTGGCGGGGGGCAAAAGGCTCCTCGGACGACAAATGCTTCCGTTTGAACACATATCTGTACAGTTACTAGGGGGCCCCAGTTTTGTGGACCGGTGCACATATTATTTGACACACACACACACACACGCGCACACACACACAGACACCCACCCACGCACGCACGCACGCACGCACGCACGCACGCACGCACGCACGCACGCACGCACATATATATATATATATATATATATATATATTGCCCATCCAATGTTTCGAAATTTCAAAAGGCTCCAAGAGACACCCGTATGTCGAGGCCACATAGGGATCGTGTCGATGGCTGATCTACAAGTTCATCATCCACTACCCTCCCCAGCTAATGGGTGGGGACGTGGGGACCAAGTCCATATCAAAGCGTTTACCTCTCCAGTTTGTGGCTTGTTTGAACATCACAGCCTCCAGTTGGTGCTGAATATGGACACCAGGTTACGTGAGAGTTTATGTAGCGAGGAATCCCCTTGGCGTGGCTGTTTGAGTCATGGCAACCATGCTCCCATGTGTTCCTTTGTTTGCTGGGTGCCACCGAACATACTCACCAATTTTACCTTGTGGTGTGTGGGCCCAACAAAACAGGTTGAGTGTTTGAAATTGGAACCGCCAAAATGATAAGTGTTCCTTTTGGATTCCCTTTCAAACTACACGGACAAGCTACGAGCCACGCGCTGATTGCTCGTGAGGCCATCGCTTTGGTCTGCCTCTCCCGGCACCGAGCGCGCCGCAATGCAAGCGCCGACGCGGGGCCGGCGCCTCCGACGGTGAATTGAGCAGCGCGCCTGCTGGGGTCTCCTCCAAGGTTCTCTTGTGCACTACATAGTGTGAAATTCAGACAGAAACTGTTCCTTCTCAGACGGCAGTTTCTTTGGAGCACTCCGGAGTCGGGTCAAGGTATGAGTGGGATATAGAAGAGCAAATTTACCCTCCTTGGATGCAGAATAGCACATAGTGTATAGTTAGCATCTGACCAAGGAATTCTTCATTTTATTCCCCCCTTCAGGGAGCCTCATGGGCGTTTGTCTCCTTTTGGGTACAACGAGCTTTCTCGTAGATCCCGCGATTCAGGTGGTTGAGATGATTGACATGCCCCGTTGAAATCTAGCCATTGCCCGAGGGCACTCATTCCATGTGAGAAACTGCATTTGGATTGTTCAGGATGTTACTGCATGTTACTGCATTGGGCCCAAAAGTACGATTTCCAAGCCCAAGAAGTGGACAGTTTTTTGCCTGGCCTTGAGAGCAACCCTGAATTGGCAGCTTGTCTCCGCTTTGGTTCTCCGCCATTGGTATGAATCCCCTGGATCACAATTTTGCGAATATGAATCACGTCCGTTGGTTTGGGTCGCAGGTCCATTCCATGAACTTCCATGTTGCTGGGCGGAGGCTTAAGTATCCACTATATCAACCCCGCGGTTATGGGTTATCACCTTTGGACCCAGTATCCATTCAGCATGTTTATGACAATGGCTACTTAGGTTCTTCCCCGACATGTTACCATGGTCACAAGCCAAGTGGCGGTTTCACTTCCCATCCAGTTCCTAGTACGCACACGGGATTGCACAGGGAAATGACCCAAAATAATCCAAATAAGCCAACATAACCAGATGCCAGAAAATGGGGTGATTGTCCGAGCATTTGCTCCCAGGATGTGGGGCAACCCCTAAACGTGCTCCACGTGTCAAGGAAGGCCAAGATTCCACCTTTTTCCAGCTCCTTTGGGGAAGTGAGGTGGAACTAATCTTTGGTGCATTTTGCTTGGATGTTAGACCTTTCACTTTACTGCCAACTAACGGGTTTTCCGTATCAAACCACTAAAAGTTAGTCATTTTTAGCAGGGCTTCGCAGAAAGTAACCGAGATTGGGTGTGCTTTCGTCCATTGTAGGTTGCTCAGCACACCTACAAGTCCTACCCTATCTCCCTGTTAAACGGTCAAACACTTTATTGAAGGTTGCTCAGGGGGGTATATGCGTCGCACGCTGGGACCCGGACGCGGGACGCGGTCGCGAGGAGATGTTGGAGCCGAAGCGCTTGGCAGTGGAGCTGCAACCGCCGATGCCGCCCCTGCGACCCCAGGAGGCGATTTCGGCTCCGGCAAAATCGAGACGGAAAACGCGGGCTTTTCGTGCCGGGGGGCTATTGGGGGGGCTATGCCGGCTTCCAAACACGAAATAGGAGTCTTCTTGGGCTTGGAACCTTTGGAACCATCAGGAACCGCGAGAGGATGGGGTTACGCAGTTACGCCGTTGCCTCATGACGCGGGTATGCGTTGCATAGCGCCTCAAACGGGAAAGCCCAACTCGCTGAGTTGAACCACCCTAAAGAGGTCGAAGAGGTGTGGTCTTCGAAGAGTCCTGATTTAGGGGATGACTTTCATCGGGGTTGATTCCGTGTCCATTCTTTTTTCAACCATCGTTCTTTTCTCAAAAACCAGATCCGTTTTCTCCGGGTTTCCGGAGGTTTTCTAGAAAGATCCGGATCAATAGAAAGAATTGGGGGGGCCCCCCTCCTTTAGCCGGGGTCCATCGGCCTATCCTTGCCGTATTTGTCGCGCAGCTGCCAAGTAGCGCAATACCGTGGTCTTGTTGAAAACTGTAGCTGAGGGTTTGTGCGTCCTGGAAAAACATGGGGCACCTCTCCCACCCTGTTTGAAGCAATTGAAGGGACCCCCTCCACGTGACCAAAGGTGACTGCCTCGGATAAGTCAACTCTTGGTTGTTTTTTCTTGGGGGTTTTGCCCTTTTAGTCTTTAGTCGAGGGGCCCCCACCCAATATATTAATTTGGGTGAACCTTACTTGTGTCATTCCGAGAAGTGTGTGTTTTTTGGTTTTGCTTTGCAGCCAAACCAAACAAACCACCCTTAGGTCCTAAGTTTTCTGCTGGTTGCGTTGGGTTTCCATGTAACCCACAAGTTAGTCACTGTTCACAGGGAATCAGTTTTCCGGTTTTGTGTTTCTTGACTGCTACTGAGTTGGATCTTTGGACTTTTTCACTTTTTGGTTGAAATGAAGTTGGGTTTTCCACGAAGCCCACAAAAAGTTCGAAAAAAGATTTGCAGAGGGGTCGTTGCAGCAACAAAGGTGTTTGGCCCCTGAACCTAGGTTTTGCTTCGCCGTTCGGGCTGAATCGTTGCAGGTACTCTTTGGGGCGGTGCCTGGAGAAGACCGAGGGACCAATCTGCGGCCCGGCGGAGGGTTTTTTTTTCCTTGCGGCAGGCCAAAACTTCCATTTAGTGAAGAACATATTTTTATTTTGTTGTTTTTTTTCTCCCCCTGTAGGCCCTGTAGGTATTAAAAGAGAATCTATCGCTATTGGAGTTGCTTTATGTTTTTCCAAGGGACTTGAGAAAATGGAGGAAAAAGAGAACCCGGACGTGGGCGGCTGGTCTTTTTGAGTTGGTCTCCCGTGTTTTTGTGTTTTTTGTTTTCCTCGGGGAATCGACATCTGAGAGTTGGAAGAGGCTTGTGGGGTTCCTTGGGTCGAATTGTAGTCATGAGTCATCGTCATGTGGGTGGCTCGGTTCTCTTTGGAGTTGGTGCTCTTGCTGTTGTGGTTTTGAAGGGGGACCAAAAGGACACCATCTACTTTCTGTGGGGGGGGTTCCCCGATTTGAGACAAACCCACATCTCCTGTCAGAGATTTTGGGGTTGGGCCACTTCGACAAGTTAGTTGATACAAGTGTTTTTGTTATTGCTCCTCGCCCTTCCACTCGGCAAGCTTGCTTTTGCGAACTTACTTACCACGATGGTTTGCCAGTGTGTTGACTGTTTCTCACCTTCTCGTTGGGCAAGTGTGATTTCGTTCGTGTGTTTGCTTCTTTGTTCGTTTCGTGGTTGGCTCAGTTTGGTTTCGTTTCGTTTGGTTCGTTCGTTCGTTTTAGTGTGGTCGTTCTCTGAATCGCTGAGGATGGAGCCTCCCATCACGCGGACAGACCCCTTCTTCTGGCTGCGGGATGACGCGCATCAGAACGTGCTTTGGGCTTGTCAAAGAAATTTTGGAATCAGGGGGCACGGGCAGAGTCGCCGAACTTGGGGCAGACCCTCTTTAGACATAATTTTGGGAGTCTGGGTGGAACTTGTACTTGCTAGTACTTGCTTTAGTTGTTCCAAGACATTGCCAAGACTGAATCTAGTAAACTCTCAGATTCCCCGTACTTACTTTGGTGTTGCTGAATTTAAATGTTGCATTGCCAGGACTAACTCTCAGATTCCATTTGTTTATTTCGGTATTGCCAATTCTAACTTGGCCGGGAAGAAAAGAAGATGGAGACTGAAGACGACAGGATCAGGTTGCCTTTTGCGGGCAACCACAAAGGGGGTTGCCCGTACTTTTTTGTACAGGAGTTGTCGTAAACTTGATAGTTTGGGGACCCTTGCAAAATGAATTTCCTAGATCGAAGGCCTTGAACCCTTTGAGCTGGGAAGAGCTTGGTTAGGTGAATCCCCCTTTGAAAGTAAAAGGCTAAGGCTTGAATTTGGGAATTTCAGCAAACCCAAGTTATCTAGAATTGATGGTTTGGGGACCACTTCAAAAAAGGGTTCCTAATGTTTGCCCGGATTTGTTTGCTCGAGTTGTTTGCCAGACTTTTCTGGCCAGGTGGTTGTTTGCCCGGATTTTGTTTCCGGCATATTTTCCGTCAAAAAAAACTGCCGCGATGTAGGGTCAAAAGGTCGCGTTTGGCCATTTGGACAACCAAGCCATTTGGACAACTTCCTTTTGCGGTCGGCTCTGGGCTGAAGGCATAATATCAACGCAGTTGAAACCAGTGATTGGCCGAGTGGCCCGTTCGGTAGAAAAAGGGGCATCATTTCTGGGATTCCATTCTAGGCAGGAAGCCCCCCTCCATTAAGGAGCAAGCAAACTAATTTAGAGGGGCCAAGGGGTCAATCAAACTGAAGTGCCAAACTCTCAGCTCTCCAAACAAGATTCCTGGGTGGGTTCCATTTGGGGCGTGCCATTTTTCAGCTCGGCAAACCAAGCAAAACAGCACCAGTACCATATCCGTACAGGACTCCGATCGGGTCCAAAAGGCTCCCTGGCGATAGGCAAAGTGTTGAATCGCCCCAGCCACTCGGCTCCCTTTAAACCACCAGCGAATCGCCAAAACACAAACAAACAACGAACTCCCATTCGGACGCTCGAACAGAAGAACACGTGTGGGCCCTTGATTCAAACTAGACGCAGGACTGGGCCGCAATCGGGTTGCAACGGAGCAATTTTTCAGGATCCAATATCGCCGCACCGCGGTAACAATGAAGGAATCCAGTTTGGAGAAACTCTCCACATCGTCAATCACAAACGGCAAAAGTTAAAAGATCCAACCTTGTCATCTCTCTACTTACCACTTACGACTCCATCTCTGTCTCTGCCTCTATCTCTGTCTTTGCTCGCTAGCTCGCTTTCGCTGTCTCTCTCTCTCTCTCTAATATTAGACCCCCAATTGGAAGTCGGTCCTCTATTGTAGCAAGTTGTTTCCCTAATTCAGGATCCTGTGACTATTTTGGGGTCTTGTGGTTTTCCTGAAGGCCAGCTTTTGTTTTCAGGTCCTTAGGGCAACTGAAACGGGCATGTCATGCTTTGGATGTTCCTTGGCGGTGATTTCTCAGCATCCACTCCAAAACGGGAGTGCCCTGCCTCTTGTTGACCAGCTAGAGGCTTATTCACCTTCAACGTACTTGGCAGGTTTTGACGATTTGTGTGTGTGTGTGTGGTTCTGTCAATTTGTGTGGTTCTGTTTATTTTTAGGTTTGCGGGATGCAACCCATACGATTGTGAACGTTTAACGCCTGTTCCCACTAAATTGGGGGGTCTCCTTCCCAAAACCCCGTGAAACAAACAACCTTGTTTGAGTGTGTTTTCCCAAAAAACAACGGAAGAATCAAGGCCCCCCTGGCAACCCAGCAGCCGCGCCCGAGCCAACGCGACCCCTACGCGAGCCCAATCAAAGGAGGAGGTGCAGCAGCTGCTGGAGGACGAGGACGCCTACTGCTGCCGTGCCCTGAGCTCTCTGCAGAGTTTCAGCGAGGAGCTCTACAAAGAGATGCAGAGCGCCTCGGACTCGTACGTCAGGTAAGTGGTCAGTACGCCTGTGGATGCGAAATCCCCTGTAACTGCCAACAAGCAATGGAATCCCATGGTTTCAACCTGATGCAGGACAATTGGGTACGTCAGGTAAGTGGTGACTTTGGTGCATTTTGCTGAGATGTTGGGACTTTAACTGTTGCCAACTTTCCATTAAATCAGCCCTGTGGATGGACGAAATCCCCTGCAACTGCCAACAAACAATGGAATTTGATGGCTTCAACCTGCAGGATTTTGTCCATCCACAGTAGTGGCCAGCTTTTTGCCATGTGGTTGAAATATGCTTGTTGTTATCAGTGGTCAGGTAACTGGTTAGTACGCCTGGTTATAACCCACTGAACGGAGACTTAGAACCATGGCTTTTGTGGGTTATAAACAGGCTTACTAACTACTTACTAAGTACCTTCCCAGTACCAACCATTGCTAGCTTTTCCCATGTGGTTGAAATAGCATTTTGTTATTGGTTGTCCAACCAAGGGTCATGCCATGTATGACGGACCTTTTGATCAACCCTCATATTCTGCTGTATCAAGCTTTTTGTTCGGCAAATGTCCTGTAGAACTTTCCTTGGATTTCTTTCAAAAACAGAGGGTCGGCCAATCCGAATCCATAGTCCCAACGTATCCCGAAAGAAGAATTAAGTAGTGCCCTTGAGCAGCAAAATGCAGCAAAAGGTAGCCAGGCGCTTCGCCGATAAACGCGGGTTTTGGGGGTTCCCTTCCGCTTACATGGTGGCTTCGGGTGCGTGCAGTTTCCGAAACGTGCGTTTGATGCATGTGTGGAAGTGCCGTGGGTGCCTCTGTTGAATGTGCAGCATGCCATGTTTGGCGGTGCAACCGCTGAATTCCGGTCTTGGAGCGCTAGTTCCAAGTCCCGTGAGACAAAGAAAGGGAAGACTAAGGCTATTGCCAACTGCGACACCAAAGCCTCCCCCACGACAAGATTGGACCGCCCATTTCTTCATCCCATTTAAGCTTTGAACAGCTCCGGAAGACAGTACTGTCATACTGTGCATGGACGAAATCCTGCATCACCTAAGAAACTCTGGAATCATGATTCCCCTGTGAAAAACCAACAAGCACTGGTTTCAACCATGGTCTCTTCGGCCGTGCGAAATGGATTTCGCACCCATCCACAGTAGGGGTACTGTCCGACTTGCTTGAAAAGTTGCCGACTAGTTGCGAGATTTCTTGGCGCTAGCCCAAGGAGAGGGAATAGCAATTTGAATGCTATTGGGTTGGATCTTTAGACTTTTTCACTTTTTGGTTGAAATCAAGTTGGGTTTTCCACTAAACCCCCCAAAAAAAGGTCCACTTTTTGCCGGGGGGTCGTTGCAGCAATAGACTCACTTGGGTGTGGCTCAAAACTTAACAGGGGGGCAAACCGCAGGTTTTGGTCCATGTTTCCACTTGCCAGGGTTCCAATTTGGTACCGGTTTTTTGAGCCACAGCCACTTAGCCCTTGGCAGGTTTGCTGGTTCGTGAGGCCATGAGAAGGAGTCTTCCGTGGGCATCCCCAGCGTCCAGGGCAGCTTCGCCTACTACACCCGAGGCGTGGATATAAAAGCAGTTCAACTAAGCAGGGCTCCTTAAAAGATGCATTTTGCCCATTTGAAACATAGCTTTTTCCACCAAAATAAAGGGAAACCACCATTTACAAGTGTATAATGCAAGGATCCCTGCTAAGGCCCCTGAGTCAAGCTCTTTGGCTGTGGGTCAAAACCGCTTTGGGATCCCATTTTGGTTGGTAGGTGAATTCACCACCCATTTTAGAACCTATTTTAGTGGGGATTGGGATGTTCACTGGGGGTACGATTTGGATTTTGTCCCACGACCATTCCTTCCTTGGTGGTTACCAGCTCTTTGGTTCAACTTAGGATTTAGAGAACTGTTTAGTTGGTCCAGTGGTTTGGTGTCCATTAAGAGTTAGTCAAATGTTGGCAGAGCTGCCTCAACGGCATTTTCAGGGAGAGGGGTGTTGGAGGTGAGGAGTTATATACCACTGAAGGATGCTGCATTACATGCTTCGATTGCTGGCATTTGTGCGCCTCCATGACTCCAACACGAACTGCCAACTTGAGTTGCAGCAGCCTTGTGACTTCTGTCGTCTGGGAGGTAGATTTAAGGGAAAGCGATTCGACTTTAAGCCACCCGAAGCAGTGCCAAACTAAATTCATCTAAAAGTTCAGCTTCCGTGTCAGGGGGAAAAAAACGATCATCAACAGGATCATTCCCAGCCCAAAAGCCATTTAACAATTCGGGCGTCACCCAAAACGTCTTGCACTTGACACCTTCCAGGTGTCTTTTTCCCCCTTGTTGGTTTTAAAGGTGAGCTATCACTACTAAACATATGTTCTCATTTTACCTAGGGGGCGAAAACGCAAAGGGAAGCTTATGACATGTTTCCACAAGCATCTTCTGAACCCCCCGGCCCCTAGATCTGGCGATGCCGTCCATAGAGCTCGATCACCTAGCTCTGTTTGTTAGTATCCTGCTGTGTCGGGCGCCCAGATTCCCAGGCAAAGGAGGTGCGGACCAGAGGTTCATCACTCCAGAAGATGAGATTCCAACTGGTTGAAAGGGAGCGCTGGTAAGTTTGCTGCAAACCTTTATATACACCCTGCATACTCTTTAAATATCCTTTGGCTTCTGGGGGTAGTCATCTATCTGAGGTCATCCAAGCCCTACTGATGGACAAAATCCGTTTGGCACCACCTAAGAACCCAGGGTTGAAACCACAACGTTTGTTGTGTTCTTATTTTGGGGAATCCAACTGGTGGTTTTCCGGTATTCTGGCAATGACCACAGCAACTGGGTTCATTTCCCCCGATGTCGCTCGCTCCAACCGGCCGAAAAACGTCCCCAGAGCCCACAGGCTGCAAGCAGCAGCCCTACGGCATCCACTTCCGCGCCCGCGTCGGCCAGTCGGGCGCCCCCGTGCCGCAGGACGTGGCGGTGCCTCGATATATGAACATCGCAAAACGGGCGACAGGCGGTTTTGGAGGGTATCACTTGCCCGGGTTTTAGGGCCAAAAGCGGCCCTAGCCGCAGGTGTTTTGGTCGTTTTTGAAGTGGGGTTTTCGAAGGCGGAGGAGGCCTCGAGGCCTCTGGTTGCACGGGGGGCTTCTTGGTGCAGCCCATAGGCCACGGGGTCTCAGCTCTCTCGACTTGGAAATCCGAGGTCCTGGCGCAGGCGATCGACTTGCAGCTGGTGGATGAGGAGTAAACCGCTTGGCTCAGGCTTCGACTCTTCTCGGCGCGTCCCAAATGGTTTGTTTGTTAAATGCGGAAACCCATATTTCCGTCTTGAAACGGTTCTCTAGCTCGGGTAGAAAAATGAGGATTAATAAACTGGACCCAGGTTCGTTTTGAAGCTGATCCAATTTTACACAGGAAGTGAGTGAACAGAGAGGGGGGGTCTTTCAAGAACCCAGGTGTAAGAGAGGTTCCCTATTTGTCCCCTGTTCCCCTCGTGGGCACTAGCATAAAACCCGAAAAGGGTTGTTTGCAAAATGATAGGTGCGGTTTTCGTTGTTTTTGATTGGGGGGGAAGGTTGGTGAGTAGCACCCATGATTTGTGTTTCTGCTGAAGGAGTTGCTCTTAGATGAGAACGACCTCAACGATGATGGCGAAGGGGGCTCTCGTCCATACTTGCCACTTGGCCTCGGGTTTGCCTCCCTCACGAGCTCACCCATGACACTTGGCCGGGGCCTTCCCCTATTTCTGGTTGAAGGATTACTACATGATTGGTGCAGATGATGAGAAGGCTTTTAAGGATTATTGAATGGGGGTCCCCCCCCCTCGCAAACAAAATTGCTATATTATACATTATGTTTTATTCATCCGCGGCTTTCACTGCAAGCATTCAACGATAAATAATACACATGTCATCTTTCTAGCCATACTGGCCCGACGGTTGTACAGACCCTTCCTTTCACAACATGGCCAAACACTTCTGCCCCCTTCGAATCCTGCTCCCTTCCCCCCGGTCAACTCTACACATGTCCCTTGGTATTTGTGATTTGGATTTGGAATTTGAACTCAACAAAACCTGCCCCATCAACTTAAAAGCTGCCTCCACCGGCGGTTTGCCTCTCAACAAAGCTCCCCCCCACTTTTCCAGGGCCCCCTTGGGCCCATCGGCTCGCGAGGTCGGTGTGCGGCCCGGAGCCCAGCGCGGACCACCTCTTCATCGCCTACGGAGAGGACTGGGAGGGCAACGACAGCTACCGCGTCAGCTTCTCGCTGGGGAAGCGGCGGAGTTCACAAGGGTGGCCAATAGGGATTTTTCCCCTGCTTGTGGGGGGGTCATGAGTTTGGAGGCTCAAAACTGGAGAGCTCGGGCAAAGAACTAGTCTTCTTTTCATGTTCTGAGGTGACATGTTGGGTACCATGTTTTGATCCACAGGCAAATCCTCACCTCTCAATCCATGTGGGAGAGGAAACCCTTGGAGGCCGCAAGGTGTGTTCAATATTGCTGCAATCCAAGCTCGTTCCCTGATGAAAAAGGCATGCTAGAAGGCAAAAGTCGGGGTTTTTGCCGCTTGAAGCAGCAACCTATGTGTTCCTTTGAACAGGGGCTGGTTGCTAAGACAAATGTCGCCCCACCATGGGTGCTAAACAATTAGGGTCTTTAAAAACATGAACACATGTGTTTGCTTTTTGTTGGTTTCATACGTGGAAGATTAGAAACTGTGGGCAACCCAGCAATTGGGACAGTTTCTGCATTCGTTCCATGAGCTTTCAGCTGCGTCCCACTACGAATTACAGATTAGGTCAATGGTTATCCACCTCCCCCCACCCAAAAGAAAAGCCGAACCCGGCATTCCATGAAAGAGGTGCTGGTTTCCGCTGCCGCCCACTTTGAGGCTTCCACGACACCCGGAAGCCGGAGATGGAAGAGGCGGAACTTGTGGAAACGGATGCCAAGATGAATTTAGCCTCGCATCGCGTTTGTCTTTGCAGAGGCGGGTTATAATAAAGCATGGTTGTATGTGCACATACGTATATACATGTTTGTGCGTTGTGAATGTGTGCTATTGTTATTTCAATTTTCAACGGGAAGGACAAGGAGAACCAAGTTATGGGTGTATTTTTTGAAAGGATGCCAACATAATGCAATTTGTTGTGCGGGGTCCCGCACACGTGCATAAAATAATAGCTGCATCTTTTGCTTATCTTGCCTGTGCACTTCTTCCTGCATGGCTGACATGATTCATTTTAAATCCCCAGGGTTTTCTGCCCACCTGTTTGTAGTGCTGGTTGACGTGTTGTTTTGCTCTGGGTTTCTGTCCGATCTTCGAGTGGCACCAAGAAGCAGACCCCAAAAGCCCTTGAAGTTGAAGCCATAAACATCGCACGGAGTGTCCGAAGCGCGAACAAATCGAGTTAAAAACACAACTCGAAGGTCCCTTTCAACTAGAAAATATTGGAAGCCATGAAAAACTAGTGTGTGTTGCTATTTGGCTAAAGTAGTTAAAATGCTCAAAGGTCCCTTTCAGTATTCAGAGGGGAATCATCTATCATACGGCCATGGGGTTGCCGCAACCTATGGCGAGCCATTTTGGGGTGGATGAACATCCATTTGCCACCTATTTTGATGTTCACCAGGGGTTTTGTTGGGTTTTGACAAGCACAGCCATACGGGTTCTAAGCTCGATTTCGAGACGAAGTCACCGCGTTTGGCCGGCTGAGGATGGCTCGGTTCTTTGGGAAGCAGAGGGCCATGCCGCGGCCTGGGGCCCTGGGGAAAGGGAGCGGGACCGATTCATTTCGGGGAGGGGCGTCTCTAGTGAGTCCCCCTTGATTGGAGGTTTGTGAAAGGGAAACCAACAGGAGACCACTCAATTTGGGTGTTTTGAAGGGAAACCGAAAGGAAGCCACTGATTTTGGGGTGTCCTCGGCATTGGCAAACTGGAACACACACAGAGAGCATTGAAGACCCTGAACAACATTTCCCATGTCATGAGGTATCCCCTGTTTTTTGGTTTACATCACATACCCACCTCTGGGCAATGTACGCAAGGGGCGGGCACAAGCCGCTCTACTTTGAGGGAACTTCGCCAAAGGCAAACAAAAAGATCAACTTTACCTCCCAGGCGTTTTGCCAGACACTCCGACAGTGCTTGTAAACATCGCCTGCAAACCCCTTTGAACATCCCCACCCCCATCTTTGTTCACGGCGGGTCCATCGCCGTTCGGAAAGGCCAAGTTTAGGTGACGTTCCCTTTGGTCAGGCCAAGTGGGAGCCTACGCTGTGCGGTTGTGCGACATGAAACTGTTCAACCTCTGCGGACCAACAGTCGCCCTCGGTTTGGTTTGGTTTGGTTTGGAGTATTGCAGCGACGATGGATTGACATGTCAATCACCCCCATGGACGGGGGAAGCTGCACATATCTTAACTTCTTCCCGCCACGTGCGCAAGCTGAACGACACACAAGGCCGCAGAGGTCCACCCGATCCTGGCAGCTTAGGTCTACTACGTTGGCCACGACCATGAATTCAGAGGGTATGTTGCCGCCCGGCTGCGGGCGCCGCGTATCCCAAATCCAAGCCCAAGCGCCAGCCCCAAGGCCACTTACCTTTGGCGCCATAGGGACCTTGGGCGGTTCTCATCGCTAGTGCCAAAGATGACAGCCAACGGAATCGGCCGATTTCAATTTTGGTCACCCAGAAAAAGGCGCGTGGAGCACCGTTTTGTCACATCAGACCGGTGGGACACAAGTTGCCCTTTCCACGAAACCTACAAAACTCTGTTGCACAGTGGGTTCCGCCCTTTTTCAACCTTTTTTTGGAAGGGTTCCGATTCCTTTGAACTCAAACCAAAAAAGGATGCCGATTCTTTCTTCCCATATTCCCATGGAAATCCACTAGGCATCTGAGAAAAGGTCGTAGTCGTAGCCCCTCAGATGTTTTGGATGTTCCTTCCTCAGCTTGTGTTTGAACGGCACCCTCCAAATTCCTTTGTGCGAGGTCAAACCAGGCAATCCCTTCTGCCAGGGTCGCTGAACGAATGGGCGTTAGTCCTTTGCCTGGGTTCTGTTGATATAACCTCACGTCGGCCTGTGGTTGGCATTTTTAGCTGCAGCTTCCCAGCGACAATAAGCATCAGAAGTTCCTTCAGGCATTTGTGTTGAAGGACCAATGGGCTGCCCATACTTACCCGGTCGGTTTGGCAAAAGGAACGTAACGGGAATGGGTCTGCCATTGTTCCAGACCCTCTATGTAACATGAGGTGATGCCTGCTGGCACCCCTCCCCGCCCCACCAAAAAAACACAGAACAAAAGAATAACTTGGTAGCTCCCAGCCATCCGGTTCCTTAGATTTTTGGACTTTTAGTGTTTGCTGGGGTTGCCATTTGACCCACTAAAAGTTAAACTTTTAGCAGGGGATCTGAGGGCGGCCCAGATAAAGAAGCACGCAGCATTTTGCACCAGACTCGCCGGCTTGTCCGAGACCATGTTCAACTAATCTGCCGAGTTGACAAGCTGACTAAGCTTTCTGTTAGTAGTCGATGTTGATAGGTTTCTTCACTAAATTCCCCAGATGGCTGACTTTAGTCACTTTGGGGGAAGATCATTTTGGCGGCAAACGAAACTCTGGATTTGTTCCGGCCCACTTTGTAGTGGGGTCCGTATTCTAGCCACGGCCCAGTTAGCATCTCCCTTCTTTGCATGCATCCATGGCCGGAACAAATGCGCGGCTTCATCCAAGGAGATTTAAGCTGCGTTTTTGGTTGACTCGGTGTTTATGTACCCACCTTTGACTGGGTGTGCCAACGGTCAAACCTGTCATAGCCAGTGATTCCAGCTACCACTGTAGTACTGTGGATAAACGAAATCCATTTCGCACTATTTTGAAGCATGGGGAACCATATCGTTTGTTGGCAGTTACCGGGGAATCATACTTCCAGGGCTTCTTAGGTGGTGCAGGAAAACTGTCCACCCACAGTAGGTAACCATGTATGTTTGCCTCCAGTTTCTACATCAGGTTCAGCGATTCGTCCCAGGAATTGGACCCCCCAAATGGCCTTTGTCTTCCTTTTGGTTTTCCGTTGAAACGGTATGTGCCATCAAAGAAAAATACACCCACATCTGGGACCACTTGCAAACCGCCCGTTTCAAAGGGATGGTTCATGAACCAATGCGATTCCTTGGGGCGGCGGGGGGGGGGGGGGGGGGCAGCATTCTTTATGCAAGCCTGTTCCGTCCTGTTCCCCCATGCTGGACCTTACTAGAATTCCCACCAAGGTAAGTCGAAATCGCGGTTTAACCTGGCAACTGTGGTACTTGGCATCCCCACTAAATGGAGACACCCCAATCAAAATCACCCGGAGGTTCTGCTTCCGAGGTTCCTTCCCAGCACCTACCCGCCCACCAATTAACAAAAGACTCCCCTTTTACGTCGAACGGTTCCTTCCGTGAAAATCGGTGGGAGGGTAGTCCTCAGCCCAGGTCCGGCGGCATGTGGTGGGGAGCCCGCAATCCGCCGACACGGTGGTGCTGGAAGAGAAGGATTTCCGGGACGTTCCAAAGAAATCGGCTTCTGCTTCTCCATGTGTTTTTTGCTGCTTCTCCACCTTGTCGTTGCTCCACCTTGTTGTTGTTTCTCCATTTTTCTATACACAACAAAGCATGTTTTAGGGTAAAAAAAAGGGTTGAGTAGATATGAAGCTGAATCGGAGGAACATATGTCTAGAGTACCACAGATGTGGGGCGAGAAATCTGAAGGGGGGGAAAAAGCCGGGAATTCGCTCTGAGTCCCCTGAGATTATTACGGTGTTTTATAGAAAGACGGTTTCTTCTCAGAGGATGTGTTTTACGGTTCAAAGCTTGCTGCAAAAGCACATCTGCCAAATTCAGGTAGAAGCGTGGACCTTGCCATTGCCCAATATTAAGTTTGGGTTCGGCTAAGCCGCTTAATCTTTGGCACGATTGCATACAACAAATCATAAATCACGCTTTGACCTTGGACCAAATTGCTTAATGCCAACATGACAGAAAAAAACCAGCCATACGATTAAGCTTGAATTTATTGTGAGCTAGCCAAACAACCTATGAGGTGCAGAAGCTAAGAAGGGCGCCCTGCGGCACAGAGTTGGAGCCTACACAAAACATCCACATCGGCTGTTTGCTTTGCAGGTGCGCACGCAATTGATGCACCAACAATCAAAACTACTTTGCCTGAGGCCACCGCCAAAATTTGCAGGAACTAACATCAAAGCTATAAAAACAGAAGTTATGTAGCTTTGAGAGTCATTACAAGGTGTCATTGCAAGGAATCATCATCATGAAAGTCATTGCAAGGAGTCATTGCAAGGAGTCATTGCAAGGAGTCATTGCAAGGAGTCATGGCAAGGAGTCATGGCAAGGAGTCATGGCAAGGAGTCATGGCAAGGAGTCATCATCAAAGGAGTCATTGCAAGGAGTCATTGCAAGGAGTCATTGTCATTGCAAGGAGTCAAAGGAGTCAGGCAAGGATTGCAACTTGCACTTGACTCCTTGCACTTGCAACTTGCACTTGACTCCTTGCACTTGCACTTGACTCAACTTGCACTCTCCATGCACTTGGCTCCTTGCACTTGGCTCCTTGCACTTGGCACTTGCAACTTGCACTTAACTCCGTGCACTTGCGACTTGCACTTGACTCCATGCACTTGGCTCCTTGCAACTTGCAATGGCTCTCATGACTCCTTGCAATGACTCCTTGCAATGACTCCTTGCAATGACTCCAATTGCACTCCTTGCAATGACTCTTTGCAATGACTCCTTGCAATGACTCCTTGCAATGACTCCTTGAAACAAGCAAGGAGTCAAGTGCAAGTTGCAAGTGCAAGGAGTCAAGTGCAATTGACTTGCGAGGAGTTAAAATCTCTTCTTAGGGCGGCGGGGTAGTGCCGACGACACTACACAAAAATCGACCCTCTGCGGGGATCGGCGTGGTCGAGGTGCAAAAACCGAGGTTTTTTGCGATGTTTAACCTGCTCGCGCGACCCTCTGCGGGGATCGGCGTGGTCGAGGTGCAAAAACCCATGGTTTTTTTGCGATTTCTGCGGTCCTCTGCGCGAGGTGCAAAAACCGATGCGCGCGACCCTCTGCGGGATCGGCGTGGTCGAGGTGCAAAAACCCATGGTTTTTTGCGATGTTTAACCTGCTCGCGCGACCCTCTGCGGGAATCGGCGTGGTCGAGGTGCAAAAACCCATGGTTTTTTGCGATGTTTAACCTGCTCGCGCGACCCTCTGCGGGGATCGGCGTGGTCGAGGTGCAAAAACTCGAGGTTTTTTGCGATTTCTGCGGTGCGGGGTCTTTCCCAAAAAATGAGTCGATTTTTCTCAGCGGTGTACTGGTCGGGCCGTCGGACACCGGTCGCCCCATGTCCGACCTCCAGTTCACACGGCAACTGGCCCATGGGCTTTGATCGCGGCTGAGCGTAGGGAGCTGCACAAAGAAGGCGATTTGGAAGCTGTTCGATTGAAGCTTGTTTCCGACTGCAACACCAAAACTTGACAGCTACTGATTTTTGGATTAACTTTTTGGGAAACCAATGGGTTTTCTACTAAACCCCCAAAAAGTTAAAGTTTTAACCAAGAAAATGAGCAAATTGTTTGACCTGTTTTCTTTGGTCCATTACAGTAACAAGGAGCTTGGGGTGAAGTTGCATATTTTGCCGCAAATGGGGCACGGACTACGAGTCATTTCATTTCAGAGGACCGGCGCTTTGCCGTGTCCATTTGCAAGTCCAGCGATGAGCGGTTTATGATCATACAGCTTCTCGGCGGGAATGCGTTTGTGGCACGGCGCGTTTATGGATGTGCCATGGCGGTGTTTGCTAGCAGATACAAAATCGGCAGCCAAATGGTTAGAAGCCCTGGCACAAGGGTTCACAAGGGTAACAAGCAGAGGACAACTGAAGGCATCCCAGCTTACTCCGCAAAGGGTATTGGGGTGTGGGGGCACTTGACTCGTGACCAAAACTGTTAAGACCCCACCTCCGGCAAATAGGGTAACCAAGGTGCTAAATAAGTGAAGGCAAAATGAAGAAACACGTCCACCCCCCCCCCCCCATTTTCCAGGAAGAGCACAAACATCCTCACATCTCTCCTCGCTTTCCATAAATATTCTAGAAGTAAGACGGATGGTTGGGATGTGAGCATCGACCACCGGCTGCGGGCATTGGCTCGAAAGGGCCCATTGGCTGACTTTGGGGGCTGGGGAGGGGTGAAGGGTTGCTTGCACTCAGGCGTGCCCTCCTGCAAATTAGCCTATCATTCTTAACGGAATGCTCCTTTTGTGCACACCTTTCTGTGGCTCCAGCGGAATTTTTGCAGGGGTGTAGATCAAATGAAGGCTGCCATTACTTCCAGGGAAACGGGCCTAGAATCTGCGCGTTTCGATTCTGGGGAGGAAACCAAAACGCCCCCAATCAAAGAGAGATTATTAGAACATGCATAGAAAGGTTTCTGACCAAGACCTTGTTACAACCTTTCTGGGGTATTTGGATGTTGGAAGCATGTTTGTACAATGGCTATGCAGTGGTTATGTTCCATTTTTCCTGAGAGACTTGCTTGGGGATAGTGAAGGAATTGGCATACTGTCCTCGTCCTGGTTTCGGCGGAAGCATATCGAGCTCATCTACCACCGGGCGGTTGCCACCAATTTAGCCCATGATAGTGTTGATATGATATTCCTGGGTTATTAGGTGATTTATTTGCGGTGTGCGCGTGCAAGGCAGCGTATCGATTGATGTGTTGCCCCTGTCCGTGAAGTCGGAATAAGCCAAACAGTTCATGTTTGGCTGACGGGCGTTTGGCTGCTAACAGCTATAAGAGGGTAAATCCCGGTTTTTCGTGGGGATAGTTTGCGGTGCGTGGAGAAGCTTCGTTGAGTCGACGTGGTTGCCATGATTGAGGGTACCAGGGCATCGGGATATAAACCTGGCGGTCAACATGACGAATGCGTGCCTCTGAACCACAGTTACGTCTTCAAGAAAGCAAGGAAGTGATGTGAGGTGACATGGTTTGTTTCTGCGTAGTGGGTTGCTTGGTTGCTACTCGTTTGGAGATTCGACCTTTAACTCTTTTAGCTTCTTGGGTTCTCCCATGTTTGGCGTCCTGGGGTGGAAGGGCCCGCCCTTGGACAGGTACCGGACAACCTATGCTGCGCTTGTTTCTTGAAATGTTGTGTTTTCGGCAGGGGCCCCTTTTGCCAATAAAGGCCAGCCGAGACTCGGCCCGCTACAAAGACAAGAACCGAGGTCCGCATCCAGCGAAACGGCTGAGAGCTACTTGCTGGATCTGACGGCTCGCAGCGACCTTGTCTCCGTGTGCCCGCGGCAGTTCGGCGTTCACTATGAGGTGGATCACTGCCAAGGCTCCGCAAGGGGGCCATGGCCCACATGATGAGCGTTGACCATGGCTCATGTCAGCTTGGCCTATTTGCTGGTGTGCCTTGGTGGCTTGGAGGTTAGGAGGTGGTTTCCCGCTTACCCTCAACAAGAACCAGGTGCTCAAGTCCAAATCTAAACCACCAACCCAAACCATTTAAGTGCAGGAAAGGATCTGCACTGCAGAAAGAAAAACACGACGAGTTCCGCAGAACTTTGGATCTCTAAGGCCAAGTCACAGGCCCACAATACACGTGCGCAACTGGCCCTTGAGCCTGGCAGATGTCCCGCAAGCCCCGCGAAAAGGGGGAGTTTTGGGGAGGGTGAAGCCTGGAACTACGAAGTTTCATTTAGGGTTTGTGTGTGTGTGTTTGAGAGTATCCTTTGAAGGTTCGTTTGAATCAAAAGCAAGCCCACTATTTTGCAGGTCCCCCTATGTGTTCTTCTCATACATGTTTTTGCTGGACGACTGGAAAATGGAATCGGGGACCCTTAAAAATCTGGAAAAGACGCTACAATTGCGATGATCTAACTGCCTATGGGTAAACCAAGCTCATTTATATAGGGATGTCCAATTGGGGATTTGTAGTAGTTTGTGGAAATGTTTAGTTCCATGTTCCTTTTTCAGTCACGAGACTCGAACAACTAAAATTGGCGGCACCTGCACCCTTCGCCGACAAGGGGGGGGGGGGGATCCTGGCAGGCGCCTTGTACATTTTAACGGACAAGGACGGCGCGAAGAGTCTCTGCTGCACACGATTTTTTCAACCCGGGGAAACCAACACATCGAGACGAAATCGCGCCCGTTTCACGGGGTCTACACAGGTTCCAGCTTGCACCGAAGGACAATCATGTTAGTAGCACCCTAGAATGCATTTGGCCCATTTGGGGACAGCCAATTAGATAGCAAACGATCTTTGTGCAGACCACCGATTTAGCACCCAGATCAATTCATTGGAAGAAAAGGGACCGGGTCCCGTGTCAAATGCTTGGCTTGGTTTCTAGAAGGGTGTCAAAATGGGAGCCTGGTCATGATATTCTAAGATTCAGGGCCAAAAACGAGGAATTTCCGCAAACTCGAGCTTCAAAAGATTCGTATGGTTCACTGCCAACGGATATATCAGACACTGCTACGGTTCCAGCTGATCGGCAGGACCACTTCCAGCACAAGGGCCCCCGATTTGTTTAGGATTAGTTGGGGGGTTGGGGAACCGCCCATCCCGAAGAATCCTCTGTCCTCTTGGGGAATTTGGTCAAAGCACCCTGACGGCTTAAACCACATCAAAAACTTCGAGCAAAACTGAAAGACAGAAATGTTTATTGATTGCGGGACCTTCACCATAACTTGTTTCTCGTGCATGTCGGCTTCCTGGTTGTTAAAGGCTAAGCATGGATCCTCAACTTCTCGTTCGAAGACGGTGAGCGCGGGACGGTGAGCGCGTCATCCCTTCCCAAGTTTGAAGCTCAAAACAGCAGCGGCCTCAATGTTAAATCCAGCTGCTTCTGCCTTTTGTTACGGGACCCCTCCAAAATGGCTTCGGTTTTCGGTTCAAAACCGGAGAAGGATTCCAACTCCAGATGGGCCGTTTCGAAACTGGGGTTCCTGTTCCCCCGGATGCCTGGCATGCCCAGAGACCGAGGAATTCGAAGCTCTGCAGGACGGGGTGGGCGTTTGGAAGGGCGGAGTGCAGAAGGCGCCGGGCGTTTTCTTGGTGAGAGCTCATGTAGAGAGGTCCATGTGGGCGTGTCTCGTTTTTTGGAGGCTACCCACCTCATCTTAGGGGTGCTTGGAAGAGAAAGCAACGAGAAACGGGACATTGTGAACCCATGCGAGAGCCCAAGAGAATCAAGCCAGCCCCAAATCACCCCATGTCCCCATTGTGAGGGCTGACACCTCGGTTGGAGAGCGATTAATAGGGGCAGATGGTAATGTCATTGGCCCCTTGTTATGTTGCTATCATTACTAGCCAATATATACCAACATGAATTTCCCCATCGCAACTTAGTTCGGTTTTATTGCACCCGAAAACGCCAACGAACCGAAGGTCATCGGTCCGTCAGCATGAACGTCATGCTTGCCCTTAGGCAGTTTGCATCCAGGTCTTTGGCCAAGTTTGGGTCAGCGTCTGACATCTTTTCTCTATGCCCTCTAAAATGTTGGTACCCAGAGGCTCCGATCGGCTTCGGCTTCCAATGGACGACCCCGAAGCATTCGACACCCCGCTTGGGTGCCCGGGAATTGGCTGGGACGCCTCAAAACCAGGCTTGGGGCTTGGCACCAGGGGATCACATGGGTCCCTCAATTTCCAAGCAGTGGATGCAACACAAACGAAATCATGGGGGTTTCTAGGGGAGGGAGGGAAGAGAGCCGAAACAAGCCTTATCAAGGCCTTGCTAGGGGCACTCACCCTTTCCCTGGGGGAACCATGCGGAATCGCCAGGACGCCTCTGTCGTCAATCCCAAGCCAAAGTTCCAGCTGGGAAGACGTGTGGCTTCCTGATGCGCACGTCGGAGTCTTAGAGATCCTTCACGCGAGGCAAATACACCCCCGCACCCCGAATTCAATGCTCGAATATTTTTTTGCAAAAGCAAAGAAAAAGAGATGCCACCAAGAGCTCATTGCCAAAGATTTCCCCCACCACCACTATGTCCCAAGGTTATGCCATTTTCTGTTCTTTACAATTTTGAATCATTTGGAGCACACTGCCCTGTCAGGGTGCGTTCTCCCTTTGAATTGTTGTTCATGTTCGAGCCAAGTGGTCGGTTTTCGTCCGGATGAATCCGAAGCTCAAATCAGGCACATATGTCGCATTTGAGTTTGTCTCATTGCGGAAGCTCATGTTGATGTCTCCTCCCAAATGGGTGACTCCCGTTCAGCCCAAAACCCCGATTGGCAAATGAGTTGGAGGATCGAAATGCCCTGTGGACAAATCCTGCACCACTTGGGCCGCATGAAACCCTCTAAATAGCCATGATCTCCCCACCCTACCAAAACAAGTCAGCTTTCCAGCGGCTCGGCTTTTCTTTCGCTTTGCGCCGCTTCGACAAAAACCTTGCCTAAAACGCGAAAACGCCGCGGGGGCGGCTGAGGTGCACCTGGACTCGCTCCAAAGTTTCGAGAAGTTCCTGGCGCTCACCGGGCGCCAAGATGGCGCCAGCTGCACCGCGACCCCCAAAGAAGCGGAAGCCGTCAAGTTCCACGGGGCGGGGGGGGGTGGGCGCGCTAGGAATCACGTACTCCTTGGTTGTGTGTGTTATTTTCGGGTGGGGGGTGTTGTTCCTGGGGGCCCTGGCAATTTGAGGATTTGGTCCCGGCGGGCTTCATGGGGCAGACTTCCCCGTTGCTTTTGTTTAAGGGGGTAGGATCAGCTTTCCTAAACTCACTCCCCTGAGTTTCTGGACTAAGGCAAACTTCTGGCAAAAGCCAGTTTACAGGTAGACGACAAGTGAGTTTAGAGCTGCTCTTGTCTCAGCCATCACGCTCCAAAAAGAAGAATGTCCCTACCTCCCGGTGCTGCCCTGTTGTCGGCATTTTTACGGAGGGGTTGGTTTTAAAAGGGAAACCGGAAGGACAACCCAAAAAGAGACACGCCAGGCCGAAACACCAAAGGTAAATGGGCACCGTGAAACAAACAAACACGCTCAGCCCAGGTCCTTTGTTTAAGCACCCTACTATTGCATCCCTCCCAAACAAACAAAACTCAACTGTTTGTGGGTCAAAACCAATGGTACCTTTCTGGGGTAGGTGCACCACCCATTTTAGTCAAAACGGGCTTTTGCTTTTGACCCATGGCCAAATAGGCGCAAAAAAAGCTGCCTCTTATTCAGGCCAAATCTGACTGCTTGAGGGTCGGTTGACGGGGGCAGCTGATCGGTGAGGTATCTATGTCATGGTCCTTGCTCCTGACGGACGGGGGCCCATTCATTCCGTTTCCTTCCCGGAGCCTTGACTTCAGATGGAGCGAAGGCCTGGCGCCCTGCGCTGGCGGAATACTATGATCTTCCATTTGTTCAGGAATGGTATATTTGTTGTGGTTCGTTTTTCAAGAATACTTTCCCCTGGTGGTTTGTAAAAAGAGTCGATCACTACTGGATTTGTTTCCAGGGGGCTTAAGCAAATGGAAGTGATTGGTCAAAAAGTGATCCCCCCTCTCCAACCAGAACGCCCCCCTGTTAACGGGTTGTTAAGGGGTTGTGCCCTGAATTTGCAGACCGGGGGGGGGGGGATGGGCAACAAAAGCGGGCCTAATTCTTAGGCGGAGGTAGGGCACAATTGACATGTCACTGGTGGCTAAAGTGAAGCAAGCAATGGAATAATGGAATACACGTGTGTGTATATGTATACATATGTATATATTATATCTTTGTATGTCTTCATTTGTGTCTCTTTCAAAGCAGGGCTTGATTCCAATATAATCATTGATTGAGGCTGCGGGCTGATTATCTATGCCCGTTCCGTTGGATGCTTTCATCAAAGGTGTTTTTACAGCAAGCCCCCTTCTATAGACCCCCGTTCCTTGAACTGTGTTTGAGCCGGCCTTTCGACTTTGTGTTTTGCAGCTATATTTCATGCTTCGTCAAGGCCCCAAAAGGTTGACCTATCCATGAAAGGCGGAAATTTCACAATGAGAATGTTCATGTTTGGTCAATGTGCCATTGTGTGTTTGTTTTTGTTCAAGCCTGCTTTTTTAGGTTACTGTCCCTAACCTATCAACCTGAAGGAAGTTCTGTTGGATTTGTTTTGACATATTGCATCCGTTTAAGATTGAGCAAAGGGCAGGGAATTTAAACATGTCATTTTGATGTGGCCACGGTGCCATTCATTCTGTGGGTCGTTGGCTGGTGAAGACCCAACCTTTTGACTTGTTGGTTGCCCACCTGTGTTTCCTTTGGGTAGTTAAGGGCCAAAAAATGTGGGTGGACGAAATTCTGCACCACCTACGAAACCCCGCAGTGATGATTTTCCCTGCAAATACAATGGTGTCCATGGTGTCAAAGTGGAGCGAGCGGATTTCGCAACCATCCACAGTATGGAGGTTGCAATACCACTTATGTACGGGGCACATACTGCATTGCAAGCTTACGTCGGTTGCATATAAGCCTCCATACCTTCAAAGCCCAAACCTGGAAAATGCCAACTTGACATCTGGGTGGGTCTTTTTTGCGGGTACTCTTTTTTGTGGCCAGCAGAGAAGTTATCGTCCCACCTGTGTTTCATTTTGGGCAAAGACCCCAGAAAGGCTAGCTGATCAACTTAATATGAACCCCTGGTATGATCCCACAGTTTACAGGTGAGTTTCTGGGTGAGTTATCCCTTTATGGGAAAAACACCCCTGCTTTATTTTGGGTAGTTTTTCAGCCCCAAAAGATTAACCTGATGTTGCATTTACGACAATTTCAACCATGGTGTTATTTTCGCAAACCATCCGCAAGTATGGAGGTCATATGCCACTTATGTATGGGGCATATACTGAAGTCTCCGAGTGTGCGTTCAGGAGATGGCTGTCAGCAGATCTTTCGTCCACACGCCCCGCACGCGCGCGGCCGCGCAAGCCCTCTTCTCCGTGAGCCTGGGCCAGAACGATCACTTCAAGACGGACACGCGGTCCTAGTGCCACTCTTGGATGTGTGGTGTGTTTATGTGTTTGTTTTTTTGGACTTGTTTGCTTGCTTGATTGCTTGTTTGTCTGCTTTGTTTGTTTGCTTGTTTGTCTTCATCGTTTGCTTGGTTGCTTCTGTGGTTTCATTATTTGTTTGATTGTTTGGTTGGTGGGTTGGGTTGTTTGCTCGTTTTGGCTTGTTTGTTGGTGGGATGGTTTGTTGGGGTTGGGGGAGTTGGTGCTTGCTTGCTTGCTTGCTTGCTTGCTTGCTTGCTTGCTTGCTTGCTTGCTTGCTTGCTTGCTTGCTTGCTTGCTTGCTTGCTTGCTTGCTTGCTTGCTTGCTTGCTTGCTTGCTTGCTTGCTTGCTTGCTTGCTTGCTTGGCTTGCTTGCTGGCTGGCTGGCTGGCTGGCTGGCTGGCTGCTGTGCTTGCTTGGTTGCTTGTTTGCTTGCTTGTTTGCTTGTTTGCTTGCTTGCTTGTTTGCTTGTTTGCTTGTTTGCTTGGTTGTTTGGTTGCTTGGTTGCTTGTGTTTGATGCTGTGATGGATGATGGCAGTGCTTATTCATTTGTTTCTTTGGGTTGGTTTGTTAGGTTCGTGCCCTGCTAGTTTTCCCATCGACTCCCATGGCCGAAGGACACACTGCGGGTGCACTACACCTCGCCTCCCGGATGGACTCGGGGTTTGGCAAAGGCAGTCGTTGGAGCACTCAGGCTGGGTCGCTTTGAAGTAGTTGCAGTTTGACTCACTTTCTGAGCTCCTGGACTTAAATACATTTGCGGTTTTGTTTGTCCAATCCACTAGCTAGGGCCCATTGGCTTCACTGCAGAGTTGCCACTAGGATTTTCTCCAAAGTATGTTAAACACGCTTACCCAAGGCGAATCGATTTGTTTGACCTTTTGATTGCACTGAGTTCGTTCATATTTAGTCAAGGTTCCAAAACAGATCACCTTTAAGTTCAAGGTCCCTATGGGTTGCAAGTGACTCAAGGGTAACCTAAACTCCCCAGGATCTGAGCACGTGTCGTTGTTCTATTTTGGCCCCAGGTTGGGCGAATTGGCAACCAAAGAGCCAACCCACCCCGTAGCCGGGATCTATTGCGTGAGGGGTTGTGGAGCTGGGCGTGTGCTTCTCAGACCTAACTGTTATCCTTTGGCCGGATTTTGGGGAACTCCGACCCCAAATCAATAAATCCCCAGCAACACAGGGTCAAAATCTCGGTCATTTTTGGTTCTGTTGCTTTGCTTTCGGGGCCATGTTTCTACCGTTGTGCTGATCGGGGTTCGGCATCGCCGTTGTGGTTTACCATTCCATGACTTCCCACCTAAGGTACATCGTGCCTGGCCGCGACTACGCCTACCACGTGCCAACGCGGGTGCAACAGTTGCAGTCAGACAGTCAGACAGTTGGGGGGAGCGGGGGGGCTGTAGGCCTTCCAAATTAGTTGCCAGGAAAGGCGGTCTTGGCTTACCCCAAAGTTTCTCCATTTCCCTTTCTGGGGCCTCCAAAAGTGGCAGTTTGAAATCTTGCAACTTTTGAAGTGGACAAGTTGCTGGGCTGTTGGGATATTCCTTTGGGCATGAAATCCTTTAAAGAACACAACAAGCCCTTTTCTAGAGACCTGGGAGGATGTCGCTCGCAATTCAATCACTTTTGTCGCCTACCCTGGTGTTTGGTGGGGGGCACTCCCTTTGCGAAGTGAATTCCAGCTCAGGAGTTCAAGCTCATCAAGGCCGGGGGTGGGGGGGGGGCGGTTGGGGTTATGTTCAGACGGAACATGTGAGTTGCATGTCCTTCGGCTCACGACCCGGCCTTACTGCTGCTTCCTGCTGTTATGTGTTTGGTGTTGTATGTTGTGGCGCAGTGTTGTGGTTTTTGCCGGTTCCTTGTTTATTCATTCCTTTCTCTGTCTTTGGCTCTTGATGCCCCCAACCAGTTGCGCCGAAACGGCTCTGCGTTTCTTCAGGATGTGGCTGTTGCGTTTCGCCGAATTTATGTGGAAGCAGCTCCGGACCGGTTTTTCCAGCGGACAACTGCACCACCTTGAGCTTCAATCTGACAGGTCAAACTTGCGCCGCGGAGTCTGGGTTGCTAACAAGGATACATGTTGGCCATGTTGGAAGTCACATGTGCTAACCGCTGATTCGGAGCTGCTTAGAATGCGTGCGTACGCATTCTGTGGGGGAAATCCGGTTGAGCTGGTGTCCTGTTCATCTCATGTACCAGCCAAAGGGTGGTTTTGCATTTAGCTGGTTTCCTTTTTGGTTTAATGTTTGGCTATCCCTGAAATTTCCTGAAACCCACACCCTTGTAGGGGGGTCCAACCTTAGAAAATACATCCCAAAATGACAAGAAGAGAACAACCTACCATTTCGGTGTCCCTTTCTGGTTTAACCTTCCGTGATCCTTCTTAACCCAGTTTAACCGTCCTTTCCTTCCTTCCCATTTTGTTTGAACCCACTATTTAGGTGTCCCTCTTTTGCTTTCCTTTTGCTTCTCCTTCCTTTTTCGTGTTCGCCTTTCTTCATAGATACTTGCCTTGGGATGCCTTTGGTACCCGACTCCCCGCAGGAGTCGGGTCCTGAGCGCTACAACCCCTCCCTCTACCGTGCGGAGCGGATCACCTCCAAGCACCGGCAGGCGGGTTCGACGTAACGACGCCGGTGGAACGGGTGGAACGCGTGGCTCGTCTTTGAGGAGAGCGGAGCTCTTTTTGGACGAAGTTGTTTTTCAGTTGTTGTTGTTTTTTCTGCGCTCCTCTTGGATCAAGTTGTCTTGCTGTTTCTGTGTTTTGTTTGGGGTTCTGTGCATTTGTTTAGGTTTGGGGGCTGCAACAAAGAAGCCCATAATCCTTCTGGCTCCCCCTTAAAATAACACGACAAGGGTTACCAACCCCTTAAAAAAAAGACGCCCATACTGTGGATGGTGGCGAACATTCATTTCGCACCTAACACACCCTGGAATGATGACCCCCCTGTAAACACCAACAAAACATCGGTTTCCCATTGTCTCTACACATGGCTCAGGCTTTGGGGTTTCACGTTAATCTGCAGGGGAGCATTTTTCTCTTGAAGGGCGGTTTTACGTCCATCACCTTGTTGGCCCATAGGTGAGTTTCCCTTGACGTGGATGCTTATAACGGGCAATTCGGAGAAGCCTGTCAGTGGCACCTAGTTGTTTCTTTTTGTGTGTGGTAACTTCCCCACTAAGAGTGGACCCCCCCAAAGAGTTGGTTCCCTCTTTGTATTTGCGTCACTGCAACTGGGAAAAAGATGGCCAAACCGCGTTGGCTAGAGACTTGTGGCCCTTTTTCCAGCCAAAGTTCACCTCCGATCGGATCTTTGGAAACCTGGAAGGTCGGATGAGAAGTTGATGAGTTTTTTGTTGTTTGTTGTGTTTTTCTCGAACGTCTCCTTGGGTCACTTCCATTTGCTGAAATAAATATATATATATATATATATGTTTTATGTTGTCTCTCCTGTTGGCTTCAAAGGGAATCTGGAAATAGTTTCTCATTTTTCCCATGGGGCTTAAGCAAATGGAAGGTCAATGGTGGGCAACATGTCTTATTTGCCTTGACTAACCTTGCTTGTTGCGCCTGCTTCGGCAATGTCCATGGTTTCCCTTGGTTAGTTCGGCGTTTTTGTCCTTTGTCATGCTGACCATTGTGAATGGAGGCTGCAAAAAGACATTGCTTGCCAACATTGCCCAGCGTTTGTTCCTCAAGAGGTCAACCCTGTATTTCCGTGCGGAGGCGCAACGGGGGAGACCAAGGCCCCTTGGTAAGCACCGCACGCTCAGAGGAACAGGTTTCGGCTGCTTCCCATTCGCACTCGTGGAGCCGAGCAAGAGTCTCAGTTTTGGGCCCTGAGCTGGCAACGAAGTTCTAGGGAGGAATTTCACCATGCAAATCGATTCATCCAGCCAGGTGCCGATTTCCCTGGTCTACAGGGCTGACCTGCACCCGCAAGGTCTCAAAGGAGGACCTTTCCCAACGATCCTCACAGGCGGATCCGCGGCGAATCAAATCGAATCGACGGATTTTTGGGGGCGCTGGAAGCGGCGACCGAGTTCGGCTTTGGAGGGCCGAGGTACCAAGATGCGAGCTTTTGTTTTCCGGGGTCCTTTGGGGAAAATTGCTTGAGCAGCATGATTTGTTTTACCAAGAAATCGGGAAGCTCTGTTTCAACTAGTGTCTAAGAATTTGAAAGTTGTTGCGCGCATCACATTGCGAAGCAAGAAGCTCCGTTTGGTTGGGGCAAGTGCCTGAATTCGAAAGCGAAAGCAGGTGGTTCATCAAGATTGGCCAAGTGCACCTTTCTTTAGGCTTTGGTTCTTGACCATATGGTCGGTTCTGCCACACTCTTGCAAGCCTGCTGCTTGGTGCATGTCAACTGAAATGCTTCAAGGATCCCTTGAATGGAAAATTGTCAATGGGTGAGTAACTAAATAGCCATATTTGTTCAGGCAAATGTCATAAGATTCACATAAACTGTGGTTGACAATGCTCAAAACTACCAACAACAGTTTTTGTTTTTGTGTTTTTGTATGGGGGGACTTCGCAAGCAACGCATCATCAAGCCCTAACTCCAAATGGTCAGGATTGTCAAAAGGAGCATCCCCAACTCCCAACCCGACCTCCACGGAACAGGACGGGCTACGACCCCAAAGGAGTCGCTGTTGGCCAAGATGGGGAAGTGAAAGTGGGTGGCTCGTCTTTTTTGAATTTGGACCCCCAAAATGGGTTGGCTTTCCTTTGGGTTTCTATCCAACCAAAAAGGGGTGGCAACTCCCATGGCGAGCCACCATGTCCAAAGACACGTTAGGGGAATGCCAGGGTACCACCCCAATAGCTGTAGCTCTTGGGGGAGACGCCTGCGTCTGTCAGGCTACGGCGCCTACGGGGCCTGCCAAGATCCAGGCCAGAACGATTCGGGGGAGGACTGGCTTCGGGGTCTCCACAAGGTTTTTTTTTGGGCGTGTGTTTGTTTTTAGTTAGTACCCTTTTTTGGTGAGAAAAACACGGAAAAACGGCGCCATTTGTTGGGTCCCCTAAAAGCAGAGGAGCCACCCGGCAAGACTAAGCATGAAGCAGGAGTCTCAAAATACAACTTTCTGCGTACCCTAACAGATGTCCAAGTGATCCTTGGAACCGCCACAGCTTTTCTGAACATCACCTAGGCCATATGTTCGCTGTTTCTTTGGTTGGAAGTACACACAAGATCGCAAAAGGAGCCCCGCCATTGGAAACCAGGCGTGTCTTGGGGATCCCCTTGAGGTTGTGCTAAACTTCATTGCTGGGGTGCATCTTTAGACTTGTTTTTTTGGGGGAGATCAAGGGTTTTCCATTGAAGCTCCCCCCAACAAAGAAAAAGAGAAGCTTCTTACAGAGGGGTCAACAGCAACCAAGTAAAGGGAAACCAAAAGGACACCAGCCAGAGGCACATCCATTTCTACATGTTCTAGTTTTTGCAGGGGAAACTTGAAATATGGAATTGAGCCACCCTAACCCCACCCCCCAAAAGGTGGGATCTTTTTGAGAATCGGTTGTGTGTTTCCCGTTTTGGGTCCCAACGACCCTTCCCTCCGAAAGGAAAGAACAACAGAAACATACTTTTCTGGCTTCCCTTCAAACCACCCACCCGGAAAAAAAATATGGAAATACAACTCTGCACCTACTGTGCATGAACGAAATCCGTTCGCACCACTTTGAAATCATGGGAAGCCTCTGTTCGTTGGTATTTACGTTGGGGAATCGCCTCATTCCGGGGTTTCTGAACGGTGCGAAAGGGGTTGCGCAACCATCCACACCTAGGGCAAGGCTACCGAGCCTGAAAAAATCGAGCCACGAGCCACGAGGCTTCGACTCCAACCTCCTGTGCCTCTTGGACCGCGGGGCGCGGGGCCTCAGCGGCGTCCGATTTGCTGACACGAGCGGTTCCACCGAAATACGTGCGAAAGCGGTGAGAACTGTCCTTTGGGGATCCAATTTTTCATTCAGCTTTTCTAGGTCCCCCAGCTAGGTGCCCTTTCTCTCCCCCTTTTTGGGTGGGAGGGTTCCCCTACTAAAATAGACTGCAGAAGAAGGGGTGCCCTTATTGTAACCTCTCTACTGGAGGACCCAGTTTTGGAATTAGAGAAAAGCGTGCAGAATCATTCAATGTTTTTTGAGGGTGCTCTGTTGGGCTTGACAAGGTACACCTTATCTCGAAAAACCAGGACGTACATGTGTTTCTTCACACGACTTGGCATGATTTTACCCCCATGAATACTATATAGGATAAACCACATCACATATGAAGCGATGCGGGAGTTCTCCATCTGCAGGTAATGTGTCCATTTAGGTCAGCTGGGTTCAAACTGGATGGCTTATTTGTTTTGTTTCTAGTTATCAGTGCGCTAGTTGGGATGGATGATGGAAACCGGACAAATAACCTGTCATTTGGTGCGAGCAGAAACATGCGAGCATTTTAGCCATAAGGGTGGACTATCTTTTGGTGGGAAAAGTCATCCTCCTTTGGGCGACCCTCCGGAGGATCAATCGATCCATTCCTTACAATTGCACTTTTTCCAAAAGAACGCGTAGGTCTGGAGGTTTGTGGGTTTTTAACGACCAAACTGAAGCCCCCATTTGACTCCTACATGCAGCAATCAACTCGTCAAGGAAATCTGGACCTCATGGGTGCAATGGACACCAAGAAACGCAGGCAGATTGGCTAGCTACCCAATACTCCAGCCAAACATTTGTCGGTTTCCTACGAAAGGAACCTTTCATGGGGGTCGCAAGTTGCAAGGGCGAGCGACACCCAATGTATCCTCATGGTTCCATCCCCACACCTCACTAACCAATAGAGCGATAAACAAAGGCAGTGACTTTCCTGTTCCTTTCAGAAAACAAAAGTCAAATAAACAAATAAAATGCAAAGTACGTTCCCCAGGCCTGTGGCCATGTGGCTGTGGCTCAAAAAAGTGGTACCAAAATGACACCTTGGTAAATGGATCCGAAGACTAAAACCTGCGTAACCGCAGCTCTTTAATTTTGAGCCATAGCCATGTGGAAAAAACTTGCACCTGTTGTTTGAACCCTTTGGACCTTGACCAAACATGGACCACAGATGGCAAACCACAAGGTCAAAGACGTCGTTGTTTTGTCGCAACTGAGGTTTTCCTTGTGACTCTCAGCAGGGAAAGAGGGAATGACCTTCCGGGTGTTGAGAATGACCCGTTTTCGGATCCCCTTAAATGAAACTATCGGGAATGGATTATAGGGGTCATTCCATTTCTCATTTCCTACTGAGCACCGGCAAGTTTTGCAACCAGTTGGGGTTTGGGATGTCCTCTCCAAACCTTGCACCAACATTAGGAGCCCTTCGCCCTCCTTCCCTCGCCCAACATCAACTAGGTCCTCCAGTACTGCCCTTCTCACCCCTTTTTTGGGGGGAGGGTTCCCTACTAAAATAGACTACGGAAAAGAAATCGGGTACCCTTTTGCAAACCTCTACTGGAGGTCCTAGGTCATGAAGAGACTCCCACGGCGAAGACGCGGGCCGGTGCTCCCGCAGACTCCTAGGTGGTCTACGCGGTGGCCCATGTGCGCGGAGGCGGCGAACTGGGCCGGGAGTGGCGGCTTGCCACAAGGATAGACCGATTTCAATCGCTCATCCCTTCAGAGTGTAGACCAGGGGCTTTAACCAGAACTTTCATAAACTGTTTTCACCAGAGGCGTGTTGCTTGCTTGGTTGGTTGGCTGGCTGCTTGCTTGCTTGCTTGCTTGCTTGCTTGCTTGCTTGGTTGGTTGCTTGCTTGCTTGCTTGCTTGCTGGGTGGCTGGGTGGCTGGCTGGCTGGCTGGCTGGCTGGCTGGCTGGCTGTTTGCTTCCTTGCTTGCTTGCTTGCTTGCTTGCTTGCTTGCTTGCTTGCTTGCTTGCTTGCTTGCTTGCTTGCTTGCTTGCTTGCTTGCTTGCTTGCTTGCTTGCTTGCTTGCTTGCTTGCTTGCTTGCTTGCTTGCTTGCTTGCTTGCTTGCTTGCTTGCTTGCTTGCTTGCTTGCTTGCTTGCTTGCTGCTTGCTTGCTTGCTTGGCTGGCTGGCTTGCTGGCTGCTTGCTTGGCTTGCTGCTGGCTGGCTTGCTGGCTTGGGCTGGCTGCTGGCTGGCTGGCTGGCTTGCTGGCTTGCTGGCTTGCTGGCTTGCTGGCTTGCTGGCTGCTGGCTGCTGGCTTGCTGGCTTGCTGGCTTGCTGGCTTGCTGCTGGCTGGCTGCTGCTGCTGGCTGGCTGGCTGGCTGGCTGGCTGGCTGGCTGGCTGGTGGCTGGCTGGCTTGGCCTGGCTGGCGGCTGCTGGCTGGCTTGCTGGCCTGCTGTTTGGCTTGGCCTGTTTGCTTGTTGCCCCTTGCTTGCTTCTTGCTTGCTTTGCTTGCTTTCTTGCTGCTTGCTTGCTTGCTGCTTGCTTGCTGGCTGGCTGGCTGGCTGGCTGGCTGGCTGGCTGTTTGGCTGGCTGTTTGCTTGCTTGCTTGCTTGCTTGCTTGCTTGCTTGCTTGCTTTCTTGCTTGCTTGCTTGCTTGCTGGCTGGCTGGCTGGCTGGCTGGCTGGCTGGCTGGCTGGCTGGCTGTTTGCTTGCTTGCTTGCTTGCTTGCTTGCTTGCTTGCTTGCTTTCTTGCTTGCTTGCTTGCTTGCTTGCTTGCTGGCTGGCTGGCTGGCTGGCTGTTTGGCTGGCTGCTTGCTTGCTTGCTTGCTTGCTTGCTTGCTGGCTGGCTGGCTGGCTGGCTGGCTGGCTGGCTGGCTGGCTGGCTGGCTGGCTGGCTGGCTGGCTGGCTGTTTGGCTGGCTGTTTGGCTGGCTGTTTGCTTGCTTGCTTGCTTGCTTGCTTGCTTGCTTGCTTGCTTGCTTGCTTGCTTTCTTGCTTGCTTGCTTGCTTGCTTGCTTGCTGGCTGGCTGGCTGGCTGGCTGGCTGGCTGGCTGTTTGCTTGCAGCAGCAGTTGGTTGGTTGGTTGCTTGCTGGCTGGCTGACCTTAGCAGTTGCTTGCTTTCTTTGCACTGGTTGCTTGGTTGCCTGGCTGCTTCTTCTTCAGCTGCTGGCCAGCTGGCTTGAGCTAGCTGTTTAGCTGGCTGTTTGCTTTGCTTTGCTTTAGCAACCTTTACTTGCTTTCTTGCTTGCTTGCTTGCTGCTTGCAGCTAGCTGCTTAGCTGCTTCTTTCGCTAGCTAGCTAGCTAGATGTTTTATTGCTGTTTGCTGGTCTTTGCTTGCTGCTGCTTCTTGCTTGCTTGCTTTGCTTGCTTGTACTGCTTTGCTTGTCCTTCTTCTTCTATATTCTTTAACTGCTTCTTCTTCTTTATTTAACTTCTTTTCTTCTTTGTTTGCTTCTTGCTGCTTGCTAACGGCTTACTGCTGCTTCAGCTGCTTCTTTAGCTGCTTCTTCTTTACTTCTTCTTCCTTTCAGCTATTCTTTGCTTCTTCTTTGCTATTTCTTCTTCTTAGCACATGCTTCTTCTTGCTTGCTTTTAACGCTTGCTTTAACATGCTTCTTTGTAGCAACGCTTTAACCTTGCTTCTTTACTTGCTTCTTGCTTCGAGTTTTGGTCAAACGAACCTGCTTTAGCAGCTGTTTCAACTGCTTCTTCTTTCAATAACATGCTTCTTCTTCTTCAAGCACCCGTGTTGAAGTAGGAGTCAAACGCAGACCATTTGGTCAATTTAAACTTCTTCTTCAATGCTTTCGTAACAACAACTTCTTCTTGCTTTGCTTGCTTCTTGCTGGCTGGCTGTCTGGCTGGCTTCTTGTAACAGTAGGAAGCGCCGTTGGCTGTTGGCTGGCTGTTTGCTTTACTTGCTTCTTGCTTGCTTGCTTGCTTGCTAATAGCTAGCTGTAGCTGCTTCTTTGCTTCTTCTTCTTCTTCTTCTTCTTCTTCTTCTTCTGCTTCAACTATTTCATTTGGCTGGCTGTTCTGCTTGCGTACTTGCTTGCTTGCTTGCTTGCTTGCTTGCTTGCTAGCTTGCTTGCTTGGCCTGGCTTGCTTGGTTGCTTGGTTGCTGGCTGGCTGGCTGGCTGGGTGGCTGGCTGGCTGCTGCTGCTGGCTGGCTGGCTGTTTGCTTGCTTGCTTGCTTGCTTGCTTGCTTGCTTGCTTGCGCTTGCTTGCTTGGTTGGTTGGTTGGTTGCTTGGTTGCTGGCTGGCTGGGTGGCTGGCTGGCTGGCTGGCTGGCTGGCTGTTTGCTTGCTTGCTTGCTTGCTTGCTTGCTTGCTTGCTTGCTTGCTTGCTTGCTTGGTTGGTTGGTTGGTTGCTTGCTTGCTTGGTTGGTTGGGTGGCTGGCTGGCTGGCTGGCTGGCTGGCTGGCTGGCTGGCTGGCTGGCTGGCTGGCTGGCTGGCTGTTTGCTTGCTTGCTTGCTTGCTTGCTTGCTTGCTTGCTTGCTTTCCTTGCTTGCTTTCCTTGCTTGCTTTCCTTGCTTGCTTGCTTTGCTGGTTGGTTGGTGGGTTGGGTTGAGCTGGGTTGGTTGGTTTTAGCAGGGAGTTCAACAGGATTCAACCAGATTAGCTGCAAACGATTGTCTCAAACACATTCACCCGCAAGCACATTTACAACGGCGCTTAATTTAAACGAGGCAGACCATGGCTGGAGGGAGGTCTTGCTTCCCGACTGGTCCCTCAAATGAATATACCCCGAACCTCCCATGATGATTCCTCTCATAACAATTCCGGGGTATGCTCAAATAGTACGTTGGAGGGTTCCGGATACTGGATCCCGTGAAGTGGTTACACATTGCGGGTTCACACAATCACTTTTTGGGGCTCGCTGCAAGCCAAGGTTGAGAAGCACTTCACTTCCGCCAACTAACATGGAAGCACGGAGGCCCCCGTTGGAGGACGACCTACTGCTCTTTTGAAAAGGAGTAGGTTTCAGGAACCTACTGTGGAAAGACAAAATCCTCCACCACGTAAAAAACCCTGGAACGATGATTCCCCTGCAAAATGCAAACAATCAACGGTTGCCCATGGTTTCAAAGTGCTGCAAAATGGATTATATGGTTTGAACTTGTAACGTGCGCAAACGTTCAGGTTATGCGTTCCCTTCGTGCGGGCACCAATACATTTCTGACAGAACCTCAGCGCTGCGGGTTGGACGTCCTCGAGCTGTCATGCTTCCGAGGTGTCCGCAAAAGTATAGGGCACCAATTGTTGAAACTATAAGGGCCTTTCTGGGCAAGACACCTTCTTGTCGGGTCCTTGCAGGGCGAAGCAGGCCAACTGTTGATCAAGCTGAGGGTGGCGTTCTTTTGGAGAATAAAGGGCGCCTGTGAATGAGTAGAACCAAACTGAAACCAGTAAAGTCAAGGGCACCCTCTCTTTTCATTGTTTCTCAAGGACACCCGAAAATCTCAGCCTCGGTGGCCTCTTGAGACACATTCCAAGAGCATGGCAGTCCCGGGTCACCTCCAAACGGAAACCAAACCCAGACAAACCCGAGGTGCCGGTTCGAAACGTCCCGTAAGGTGACGTTTTGCCACAAGCGCCAAGGAATAGAAAGGATCCATGTCACTCCCAGTTTACCCATGCCTTGTGCAGTGGCCAAACAATTTGACCGCAGAGTCTTCATTTGGCCAAGGTCTTAGGGTCCCTCCGCCCATCTCCGCCCTTTTCTTCAAGCAGCGTGGTTTTGCCAAGTTGGGTCTCCAAACTGTTAGAAGCGTCAAATCAAAGGTGTGTGAACCACTTTCTTAGGCGAGAGGAGGGCCGGTACCTCAAGGTGAAGAATCGCTTCCACGACTTCATCGCCGCCGACGCTGGGACCAAAATTAGCCGATCCACGTGGCACTCCGCAGCTTACGGAACCCAAAGAACCGTGAATTGCAGAGGAAACTCCCCCAAAGAGGACCCTCTTTGGGATCCAAGTGAAATCCGGGGAGGGTCTGCATATTTGTTCTTGGTTTCGAGCAGTTCCGGGAAGCAAGAGTGAAAACCCACGTAGGTCCCTTCCTTCCAAATCAATGCACGCGGGACATCCACATCCCATGCGGCCCTTGCTATGCATGCCTCTTCATTTGCTGGGGGGCAACGTGTGGCAGTTTCCTTGCCGCTTTTGCAAGCTTGGGGAATTGCACGCATTCAATCGGGTGTTCCATGACAAATTCGAGTGCCAGGGTCGGATGAGATTCTTGCAGAAGAAAGTAGTTCAATGCTGCCGTGTCTTTTCTTGAGCCCGCAAGAAAAGTACAGTTGTTTGCTCAAATGTATGGATGTTCAGGAAATGCACGGATTGTGTGGACAGTCGCAAAAAAGTGCCCTTGGTTGGTCCAGGTATGTTCGGGTGTAAACGGAAATAATGTATATCCATGTCAATGGCCAAGTTGTTGTGGCAAGCACGGCCATGCGAGTCAATGTCAGAAAGTCAACCATCCAAAACCTGGGAAAGACCAGAACCAACATTGGATTTCCTTTACCTCCAACCCCCCCACTTTCTGGTTCTCAGTCGGGAATGTCACAATGAAACGTTCCGGGGTCCCCTTGAAGGAAACCACCACTTGGATGGTTTTTAATCAGGGTGATTCCATCGCAAGCCCATAGTTTAAAAGGACCGTCCTTCTGGGGTGATCATGGAAATATAGGGAGCCCAGCCCCCTCCCCCCAGCTCTGTTTTGTGGTTTCACACATTCCTCATGGTTGTTCTTGGGAAACATTTTACATTTTTGCCAAATTCCAGATTTGTTGCTCCCTTCCAACGTCACCCACGTCCTTTTGGGGCGATGTTCCTCTTGGGATCCACCCGTCCGTCCGAGGCGGACACGCTGCTGGCGCTGGGCATCTCCCAGCGCTCCACGCTGGCGGCCTGGGGGGAGTCCAGCGGTGGCCTGCTGGTGGCGGCGGCCGTGAACCTCCGCCCGGAGCTCTTCAAGGCGACGCCCCCGCGCTTCGTTGCCCGCGCTTCGTAGCACGTTTCGGCCGCAGAAAATGTCCCTAAGGAGCCAGGAAACGGCCAAGCTTCATACATTGAACAGGTCAAAACGGCTTGCGAAGCCATATATCCCAAATGTTTAGAAACTATTGGTTGCTGGTTTATCCCATATATCTTCAAGGCGAAAACCCCGCGCTTCGTTGCGGCGCCGCGTGCTTAAGCGAAGCCTTTGGCGCTCCGTTGTTCGTAGCGTTTGTTGTTTGTTTGTGTGGGTGGGTTTAGTGGTTGGCTTTAGTTTCTACTTGTTTTGTGGTTGGGCTTTTGTGGATGGATTTGTTTTTGTGGCGTTAGTGGGTTTTAGGCTAGGTTTGGGTTGTTTGTAGTGGTTGGGGTTGTTGTATTGGTTGCTTTGTACAGCTTCTTTTGTGGTGGGGTTTAGTGGTTGGCTTTGGTGGCTTTTTGTGGTTGGGTTTTTGTGGCTGGATTTGTTTTGTGGCTTTAGTGGGTTTTAGGCTAGGTTTGGGTTGTTTGTAGTGGTTTCGGTTGTTGTATCGGTTGTAGTGGTTGGGTTTGGTTTATGTTTTTGTGAAATATAGTTTTTTAGTGGGTTGTGTGTGTGTGTGTGTTTTCCCGGTTTTCGGCTTCCCAGCGAATCCTCCGGTTCAACTGAGGTGTTTTTAGTGGGTTGAGTGGCGTTGGGTGGGTTCAACTTAGTTTTTTTTCTCGGAGGTGTTTGGGGATTTAACCCGGTTTTGGCCGTCCCCTTTGGTTGATAGTAGAGTTTTTCTTGCTGGAGCTCAGCAGGGAATGAGAAATGGAATGACTCCTATTATTATAAACCCTCCAACTGGTGGCTTCGTTTAAGGGAATCCCCAGGTTCATTCCATTTCTCATTCTCCACTGAGCACAGTTTTTAGTGGTTTTTTGTTCAACTTATTTGTTTTTAGAGGTTGTTAGTTGGTTTAGTGTTTTTTCGGGCTTCCCAGCAAATTCAACTGAGGTTTTTTGGGATTTGACTGGGTTTTGTGGTTTTTCGGTTGGTTCAACTTAGGCTTTGTTTTAGCTGGAGTCGTTGAAAACGACCCCGCAGTATATTGCAATTTTGTGGTTTTGGTGGGGCGGTTGGGGTGGGGTGGGGCCATGGTGATGCTCGCGGGACTGCGGCACTTTGACTGGGTGGGGGCAATGGTCTTTGGCAGAGCATGTCAAGTTGGCATAAACCCAAGTTTGAGTTTTGGAGGTATGGAGGCTTCTATGCCACGTACCTCCATACTGCGGATGGTATTCACAGAATCATCGTTCCAGGATTTCTTAGGTGCGACATAGATTTCGTCCACAGTGCCCAAAACCCATACCTGAAAGTTGCTTTCGGGTTCCATAAAGAATCCCACCCCCCCCCCCCCCCCTCATGTTCCCGTGGCCAATGGCTAGCTACCTTGTTGTTTCTTTTGCGGCTGACCCTTAAGGGAGGTCCAATGGTGCATAGTTTTTTGACGGAAGCTTTTTTCACTGCTGTGAGGTGTTTTTTTTGTCCAGAAGTTGGGTGACCCTACATGGATTCTAACAAACAGGCCTTTAGTGCAACCCTCTCGCCCCCTGGTTCTTGCGCGATGCCGTGAGCCCCCCATGCCCCCAATCAGACCATAGACTATCTCAAGTGAAAATCTGTCTCACACTGCCCTCCCGCCAATGAACAGGAAACCTGACGCTTTGGAAATGCAATTTGGTCCAAGCCAGGACCCCCCTTTTGCCCCAGGCTCCATCCGCTAATTGGTGGGAGGCTACCAGTCTTCTTGCTTCAGAAAGTCACTTTGAGGTTTCGAGGGAGTCAGAACTTTGATTCCGTACTCCCGGTGATACCCTTCCTGGTGCCCTCCAAAGCATAGGGCTCGAATTTTGCGCTTTTCAAAGGCACTTGGTGACGAAACCATTTGGTCCCCGTGGCTTTCCGCATTGAAACTTGATTTCGCCCCTCCATTTTGAGCCCGGAAAGGAGCTTGCACAGGCTTTGGGCAAGGGGCTATCCCAGATTCCAGGGGCCCTGATGGTTCCACGTCTGTGTCTAGGGTCGACTGGTTTCTGGGAAGCCCACAGAATCAGCGAGGCGATGTTGCTCTACGTGCCTTTTGTGGACGCAGTGAACACCATGAGTGACCCATCGCGGCTCGGCAGGCGGAAAACTGAGATCTTCACCGCGCAGCTTCAGATGACCAAAGTGCAAGGTGAGAAAGTTGGATCGAATTCATTGGGGTTCTCTTGGCCGAACTTTCCACCCTTCCCTTCTACTTTCCTTAGGCTTCTTGGGGCTGACATTAGCGATCCGAAAGCTTTGCAACCTTGGGCTGAAATTTCACCCACACACCCATTTCAGAAAAATTGACATCCAACGTTGAGCGTTGGCGGTTTCACACCCAACTCATGTTCCAAGCGACATCCAAGCCGAATTGGATACACTTCTTTTGACTAGGGGTCACAATGGTGACAAATACCGAATGAATGAATTTTGTTTCAAAGTACGCTTGGATCCCGTTTTTCGGCACGTTTTGGCCCTGAACCTCGTGAGTGAATCTCTCAGTAGAGGTCGGTGGCAACGGACCACGGCCTTTTCAAAGGTGATTCCTACGGCGAATTAAAGTCGCATTTAACTAGTCCGTCGGTCTTCCCATCAACCCGACCAAAGCAGTCCGGGAATTCCAGCCTTTCGGCTTTGAGTTGGGAAGTGGCCAATATTGGGGTACTAACTGGCCAGGACCAAACCATTGGGCAGGGAAATTCAGAATGTGTCCTTCTAGTGTTGCCCTAGGGAACTTTCTACCCTAGAGATTTAGGAGCAACCCCAGAGAGCTCACGGCTCACTTCCACAATTGACTCAAACAACTTTTTGGGAGGACCATCGTAACAAAGTCTGGACCTCAGGCCAATCCACGGAAGTGAGAGGCGAAACTTTGCAACCATGACCCAAGTTGAGGTTCCTCCGGTTTGGGCTGAAATTGTGAGGATGCCCTTGGAAAAGGTTGCTTGAAAGGGAAACTGGAGGGAAACTTTTGGGCCCTGGGGGGGGGGTCCATTTTCCAAGCGGACGGCGCGTGATCCTCTCCTGGCCCTTGAGGATCCCGTTGACCTGCGGGGAATGGGAAGAGCTGGGCAATCCCAACCAGAGCGAGACCTTCTACTACATGCTGGAGCACCTTGACCAAATGGCCGCAAGTGTGTCTCAAACTGGAAAGAATAAGATGTGAAACCCACAAAGGGGGCAATTCCAAAACCCATGGGTTGTCCGGGGGCCAACTTTGCACTTCCGATCGGGCCTTCAAATGACTGTAAGGGGCCAAAAAAACAGAAGCGTGACAGAATCGTTGTTCCAACTTCCCCCAACCTTCTTAGTTTTAAGGCAACAAACACACAGCTTGAAATGGCTTTGGATCAGACTTCGTCAATGTGTGTGCGCCTGAGCCATGATACCCACTAACAATATTCAAAGGGTTCCTTTCTTCTACCAAGATCACTGCTTGCAACTTGGTGATGGTTTCTATAGGGCCAGTTGGAGGATCCCAAATTGATGCAATGGCGGGTACCCTCCCACCACATGCGTTCCTTCACAGATGTCATCGGTTATGGCTACCATATTTGTTTCTGGAAGGATGCCTAAACCTGGACTTGGCGACCACCCCTGGAATTCCATTTGGGGTTGGTGGTTTTTAGGGGAAAGCAAACGGAACACCGTTTTTTTTTTTTGTTCTTAGTTGTTGTTCCCGAAAGCATGGCGAAGGGTTCTTCCGCTGGGTTCACTTGAGTTGTTCTCATGAGAGTCATTACAAGGTGTCATTGCAAGGAATCATCATCATGAAAGTCATTGCAAGGAGTCATTGCAAGGAGTCATTGCAAGGAGTCATTGCAAGGAGTCATTGCAAGGAGTCATTGCAAGGAGTCATTGCAAGGAGTCATTGCAAGGAGTCATTGCAAGGAGTCATTGCAAGGAGTCATTGCAAGGAGTCATTGCAAGGAGTCATTGCAAGGAGTCATTGCAAGGAGTCATTGCAAGGAGTCATTGCAAGTCATTGCAAGGAGTCATTGTCATGGCAAGGGCAAGTCATTGCAAGGAGTCATTGCAAGTCATTGCAAGGAGTCATTTAAGCAACTCAGTTTCAGCACACTGCATCCATGCACCACTTATTGCTCCTTGCACTTGGCTCCTTGCACTTGCAACTTGCACTTAACTCCGTGCACTTGCGACTTGCACTTGACTCCATGCACTTGGCTCCTTGCAACTTGCAGCACTAGTGACCTCCTTGCAATTTTGACTCCTTGCAATGACTCCTTGCAATGACTCCTTGCAATGACCTTGCAATGACTCCTTGCCATGACTCCTTGCAATGACTCCTTGCAATGACTCCTTGCAATGACTCCTTGCAATGACTCCTTGAAACAAGCAAGGAGTCAAGTGCAAGTTGCAAGTGCAAGGAGTCAAGTGCAATTGACTTGCGAGGAGTTAAAATCTCTTCTTAGGGCGGCGGGGTAGTGCCGACGACACTACACGAAAATCGACCCTCAAAAACTCGAGGTTTTTTGCGATGTTTAACCTGCTCGCGCGACCCTCTGCGGGGATCGGCGTGGTCGAGGTGCAAAAAAAACATGGTTGTTTTTTGCGATTTCTGCGGTGCTCGCGCAACCCTCTGCGGGGATCGGCGTGGTCGAGGTGCAAAAACTCGAGGTTTTTGCGATTTCTACAGTTCCCGCGCGACCCTCTGCGGGAATCGGCGTGGTCGAGGTGCAAAAACCCATGGTTTTTTGCGATGTTTAACCTGCTCGCGCGACCCTCTGCGGGAATCGGCGTGGTCGAGGTGCAAAAACCCATGGTTTTTTTGCGATGTTTAACCTGGCGTGGTCGAGGTGCAAAAACTCGAGGTTTTTTGCGACTTGTGTTGTTCGAACTGGTCCTCGGGAGTTGTCTCGTGGTTCGCGCGCCTGCTCCCGGAACCGGCGGGTCGCGGGTTCGATTCCTCCCTGGTCCGCGGGCGGGCGTCGCAAGATGCAACTTGCATTTTAAGCAACTTGCGCAGAGCAACTTGCGCAGAGCAAGTTGCACAGAGCAACTTGCGCAGACCAACTTGCACCGACCAGTTTGCGCGCCTTGCCTAGAGCAACTTGCGCAGAGCAACTTACGCAGAGCAACTTGCACAGAGCAACTTGCTTGCACAGAGCAACTTGCAGGGAGCGCAATTTGCACAGAGCAACTTGCAGGGAGCCACTTGCAGGGACCAACTTGCCGGAGCAACTTGCGCGGAGCAACTTGCGCAGAGCAACTTGCACAGTGCAACTTGCGTAGAGCAACTTGCGCAGACCAACTTGCACCGACCAGTTTGCGCAGAGCACCTTGCCTGGTGCTGTCTCGCGCTTGCTTCACAAATGCTTCGTGTAGGGAAAAAGAACGCATCCTGCAGCGTTGGGCCGACCTCGCTTGCGATGTTCTGCTTTCGGGCCAACCGTGGTCTAGTTATTTTTGGGGGGGTGAAGAGAAAGAAGAGGAAAATTACCGTTGGGCCGTTTTCCGGGGTCCAAAACACCACGAGTGAGCCACCCATTTAGCGCGGAACCGGTAGGGGCCAAGGGCTGGACGAGGGAACAGCCGGGGACCCAAATTTCGAACTAGAGGGAGCCTTTCGGAGATCGGAGTTCAGGACATGATGCTGTGGATGGTTGCAAAATCCGTTTCGCACCACCTAAGAATGGAATGTTTCGATTCCTTTGCAAATAACCAATGGTTCAGCCATGGTTTCAATGTGGTGGGAAACGGATTTCGTCCATCCACAGTAGCTTTGTGTCCCAGGTGTCGCCAAACTGCCCAGAACATGAAGCTTGTTGGCTTGCTTGTGGCATGTGTTTGCAACTCTGCTTGGACCGGAGAGAAGACTTCTTCGGCTCACAGGACAAGGCAGACAGACTGCAGGTTGACAAACAGTACATGTTGTGCCGCGTGTGGTGACATGCTGCACCGTGCAGCAAGTTGAAAACAGGGGCTTATTGATCTGCAGCGAGCAATGTTGCAAAGATACGAGTCTGACCTGTTCGCTCGAGCATGTTCTCGGAATTCATGTGGCGCAACGTTTTTGCGTATGACTTGTGCCTTGCGTTAATTCAGGCAGTCCCTTGAGCAGGTTGTGCAGCTACGAAGCTTGGAAGACTGCAGCCAATCCATGGATTTTGGCGGGTTCCACAGTATTCGCAATACCGCTGTAAGGTGGATTTGGGCGTGCTTCTTTGTTGGGGTACCCCTTTTGTTTTCAGTGGTTTCACTGGGAAATCGGGAAATCAGAGGGAGCCCACTGATTTCTTTTTTTGGTTTGGCATGAGACTCACCCATATGCAAGTGAAAATCCCACACAAGAAGCACAAATTGAGAAGAGGCAAAGCCTGCAGCTCAGACATTCCTTGGACTCCATGGCGCATCGCTTGCGGCTCCTGGCGTGGGCATCGCTGGTTCTCTGGCATGTCGAAGTGGGAGCGACGCATAGCGGGCATCGCGCCTTCGGTGTGGAGCCTCCCGCGGCTCATGGGGCAGATCCGTTTTCGGTGGCGACATCCGCGTTGGTCGCACGGCGGCTCGCAGCCGCGGCCCGGAACCGCGAAGCCATGAAGAAGCAACCGCTTCTGCGGGACATCGACCAAGCCCAACGCCATGCGACGCTGATGTCGCAGAGACTCGTTGATAGGGCTGCAGCATTTGGGGGACTAGCGATGTGCGTGCCACATGCGGTGATGCCTTTGCTGGCGGTGCATGACACGCAGTTTCAGCACTTGGTGAGCAACGTGCTGTCGGACAAAGCAATGACGGGGGTGTCTTCGATTTATGCCGAACGTGGCACGGGCAAGTCTATCGCCGTGACTCTAGCAATGCTGCAATGGGCTAGCCAGAATCCGAGAAGCATCACCGTGTCGATCCGAGGAGACATGGAGAACCTCAAGGACTTTTTCCTTGTGGAACAAACCCACTACATTTCTGCAGTTGCCGAACATGTATTTCGAATGCTGTCCAAAGCTGGAATCCGTTTCCAGATCATTTTGAATATCTTCATCATGGAAATGGGCGAACATGCTGGACTGCTGATAAATCTTGCACGTGCTGCGCACGGATATGGCCAAGTCATCGTTGTAACGCAGTTCAGAGAAGTGGCAGAGGAAGTAGCTGTTTCCAACGGAGAGCGAACATGCTTGGCACCACAGCAGGAGAACATCTTTGAGTACAGGTGGAATGAGACGCAGGCACGCGAGCTCATTCTCTACTTGAATGCAAGTGCCAGACTTGGTAGCGGAATGCCAGGCAAATCCCACCGGGCAACCTTGTGGAACAAGATCCTGTGCTTGTTATCGCGACGTGGGTCAAATACGGAGAGTGGAATCTTGAAAGCTCTTCAAGCAGCCAGAGCAGAGCTCACTGAGGACGAGCAGAAAAGGATTTTGAGCGGGGCAAGGATGCCTGACATAATGGGTGGATGGAAGCCAGTGAGTATCATCGAATTCCTGCATTCGGGCAGGAGTCCTCTCTTAAGTCGCAGTTGAGCTCTTTTCAGGGATGGGCCGTACAGAAGACCCAAGACTTTTGGGTGCAGAAGGACTGACGATCCTGTTTCAACAGCAGCTTGGGTGGTTCCTGTTCGGCTCAGAGTTTGCCATACCACAAAACTAAACACTCCGAGAGCGCAACTTGGGCGACTCCTGTGCTCTACGCCAAGAGCTGGAACGTTCTTCCAGTGACATTGCGACATTGAAAGCGAGAACCTGTTGAAAGGCCCCTTCAGTCAGCGCACGCTGGGCGCGCTGGCGAATGTTGATGCGCACTGCCCGCGCAAGCGGACCCGCGTCTCATGTGCTGATTGCTTCTGGACGGATGCGTTCGGAAGTCGCAGGACTGTTGCTCCAGGAGTTGGGGGAGCCGAGAACCTCGACTCAACAGGGGCACCGAGATGCAGTGGGAGCTTTGCCGTGTAGTGAAAGCAACCACTACTTCCAGGAAGCAGCAGGCAATCTGTGCTTTTTTGGTCTCTCCCGGCCTCTCTAAAGGGAGGATGGCGTGTCCATCATATGTCCACTTCCGTTCGAAAGAAAATAACCATCCTTCATACAGTGGATGGAAGCAATCCGTTCGCACCACCTAAGAATCAAAGGGGCACCATTGTTGGTTGGTATTTACGTTGGGGAAATCGAGTCATTCGCCAGGTTTTCTTGCAGGAGTTAGTCCATCCTTAGCAACTCAGGCGATGGCCATTTGGTTTGCCGCTTGCCAACTCCGAGGTACAGTCCCTACGACAACCTCCGCATGCACGACTATCCGGCCGTGCCTCGGATGGATGATCCAAGCAGCAAGGAGCTATCCGGGACACGGCTGCGTGCGTGTTCCTTCCAGTACCCATTTTCAGGTACCCCTGAATTGGTGGTTTGGATTGGTGGCTTGGAGGGTGAAGCTTTTTCAAGCCAAATGGGGAAGGTAAGCCACAAGGCTCAAACAACCAAACCAAGCCATCAACCACGAGCGTGGTGCCAATTGTTTTGCCTTTGCCTCATTCAACACCCGCCCCCCACCGATCCTGTTTGCCGCTGCATTCCTGCCAGTTTGTTCGCTCTACCAAAAACTCTTTATTGGAAAACTCTTACGGAATCCATGAGCTGCGTGTCTGTTTGGGCAGTCAAAAAGAAGCGTGGCAGCATAGGGAGCCAGCTGTGTTTGCAGGGTGACTATCGGTGTGCTCCACCGTTCCCCACTAGAAAAAGGAATCAGCCCTGAAAATAGGGGCGGGGGCGGGGGGTCAATTCTGTTTCTGCCAGGGTCATTGGGCCAAGTTGGCCCATTGGACCCAGTTGGCGAGGGGCCCCTTGGGCGGGCAAAAGTGTGAGATATGTTTTTCCATATATAGACTAGAAGGTTGTGCAAGACTTTCATATAGGTTGTTTATGTATGCATTTGGAGTTCTACATTTGTTTACATGCCATCATACATTCAGCCCTTAAATGCGCATCGGGTGGGCTCAATGGTGCACCAACTCTTCAGAGGGTTGCATTCAGTTCACAAGCGCTCATGGATTCCAAGCTTCCCATGAATTGTTTTTGGGCGATGTGGTGTTCCAGATTTGACCTCCCTCCCCCCCAATCTCACGAAAGTCTCCGGCTCTGGTCCCAAAAGATCGCGACCGGTGGTGTTTCTGCTAGGCTTTGGTCACAGCCTCCCAGAACGACACCATGGTGGGCTACTGGGAGCCCTTGAAGTATGTCTCCAAGCTGCGACGCATCAAGACCGTGCCTTGGCGCTTAGTTATCCATGGCGATTCGTTCCCGGAACGCGCCAATCGCCCGAAAGGAGAGGCTGATTGGTTTGGAAGCAAGCGACTTTTCCGAATTCAGCCTACAAACCTAGGTCCCTCAGTAGTGCCCTTTTACCCTTTTTTGGGGGAGGGTTCCCGTACTAAAATAGACTACAGCAAGAAGTTGGTGCCCTTATTCTAACCTCTCTACTGGAGGACCTAGAAAAGGTTTGACCTTGTGTTTCGGGAAGAGCAACCCAGGTCCTGGTAGCTGTCAACCATTCTTGCCAGGAGATCCGATGTTTTGCCGCGGTATCACCTAAAGCTCTTAACTCCACGCGGGAGCGGGGGCTCGTGGGGGGCATTGATTGATTGTCAAAGGCAGGGAGCCACGAGACGATGCTCCACCTACCTTCTTGCTTTTGAAACTTCTGCAGATGGGGTTGATGCAATCCGGCTGTATGCATTTCATGTTTGAAATGTCGAGGTTTCCAGGGTCAACACACAACTGCACCTGCTGTGCGAGACATTCTTGCCAGCGGGCTGTAGGATACTCCTCAGACGAAAGTACACTAGGTCCCCCAATAGTGCCCTTTTACCCGTTTTTTGGGGAGGGTTCCCCTACTAAAATAGACTACAGAAAGAAGGGTACCCTTATTCGAACGGAAAAGCGCTCGTGGGGGTACCGTCAGCCGGATACCGGCCAAGGACAAAAACCCGGTCTTGCTGAAGGCGCTGGCGGTTGCGCTTCGCACGCTTCGCATTGATTGAAGCTGGTACCGCTTGCAGCGGGCCGTACCGTGGAAACTTTTAGGGCGGCCGCCTTTGGGGTTCCGCATTCATATACGGAGTACTGGGGTGGACGGCTTTTTTGGGCATTTCGAAGGCTGATAGTCAGAGTCACTTTGATCCAAGCAAAAGGAAGTCGACTCATTCACCGGCATTTTGGAGCATAGCCATCACTCCCGTTGGCCCTTTCAGGGCCTTTGTCACATGCGGTTGAGCCTGAAGGCCGCCCAGGAGAAAGACTTAAACCCTCTTAGTGTTTCGCACCAACTGCAAAACATTCGAAGCACTGAACCATTGCCCCCGCCCACTCACGTTACAACGTTGGATCTTCCAGAAAAGATCCTTCCAAACCAACCTGTGGCGACTCCTGGCTTGGGTTCCATAAGAAACCACGTCAAGCTGCTTCCGCGGAAACACGGCGAGAAGAGTTGCGAGACCGAGGCGTCTCCTCGCATTTGTCTTCAAATAGGTCAACCCCTACAATGGGTGGCTTCCCAATGGTGTGCCTTTGGGCTTCCCTGTCAATCAGCTCTGAGGGTGCTCAACAAAAGACACACCTCAGATGGACTCTCCTTTCAATCAAGTGAGACAGGTGTTTACCCCAGGTTTGCGCCAAGAGATTTCTTGTTGTTGACCCTTTTCTGGCCGCAACAAGCCATCGGACTGTGCTGGTGCCCCTAAATGTTTGGACTTTTGCCAAGCTTTCCGGCATGCCGGTCAGCATGAAAGTTGGGCTTGCCATAACTTTCTAGGTGTGTACGCGATTTTTCTTTGCCGGTAGGTTTGGGGCTAGTCAAAGACCGGACAAAATTGAATCGGCAAATGTCACAATCTCACTGGTGCTTCATAACGGGAAACCAGCTGCCAAAGAGGCCAAGCATAGGCAGTTCAGAAATATGTCCACGCAATCCGCTTTTGAAGCAGAAACTCTTTGCACAACAAACAACAAAAACAGGTCTTGCCGCGACCACAGCTGTTTCACCTGCCACATCTGGTGGATACATCCCTTTTCTTAACATGCGGTTGACCCAGTCTTTCCCATGTCTTCACCCTGGTTTCACCGTGTTTTACCCCGTCTTTCCCACGGTTTCACCGGGATTTCCCCGCGGCTTCCCCCGCGGCTCGCTGGACTTTACTGCGAGGTGGACTTCCACGCGGGGCACGGGGGTGCCTCCAACAAGGCCAAGTCCATGCGGGAGCAGGCGGGATATACGGCTTTCGGAAAGCGCAAGGAACGAGGAGCTCGCAGCTGGCCCGGGGGTGTTGCGCTTTTCGGTGCTTGGATCAAAGGCTTCTGCGTTCATAGTTCAAAATAAAAGTCCTCTTTCACGTTTGTGTGTTCCTGCTTCTGTCATCAGTTCTTCTTTCAATAGTTCTGTGTTTCTTTTTTCTGTTTCTTGGATCAACTTGTTCTTCTTCCTTTTTGTTGGTTCTCTTGATTTTTTAGGATTGGTTCTGTTCATGTTTAGCCAAAAGTTGTTGTTTGTGTTGTTGTTTCTGGCAACACATAGGGTCAGGATGGAAAACCAATTGGTGGGTGTTGTTTGTTTTGTTTGTTTTTGTGTTTGTTGCTGTTCCCTAAGCTTACCCTTTGTTAGCTTGGATTGGTGGAATGTGAGCCCCTTCTTGAAGCGGGTAGATGGAACACAAATTGGAGGGGTGTTGATTGTGTTGTTTTGGTGTTCTGGGATAGGAAAAAATTAGCATAGGGCACCCGCATATGGGGTATGCAAATTGTCCACTTGTAAGGGTCACGTGTTTGCTCTTGAAGTGAGATGTTGAAGTTGTGTCCCTGGAACTTGCCAGGACCCGATGGGTAACAACGGGGCCAGAAACAGAGGTCAACCTTTTTGGGTCCTTTTTCCAAAACGTGGAGTCTATTTGCTTACTCTCATAACGTTAAACCCGACAGGCGACTGCAAGCCGAGACAGCCCTGTTTCACACCGTGTTCAGAGAAGAACTCTTTAAATTCTTACAAACAACATGTGGACGGCTCGTTTGTTTTTAGGAATCGGACCTTCCCACAAAAATGTGGTTGTCCTGTTGGTGTCTCCCTTTAAAACCATAACAAGGCGGACCCTCAAAAACGACGAGCCACCCATGTGGTTCTCATGTCTATATGGCTTTACTGGAGGTGTTTGGCAAGCCAATTGCTGAGGGTGGGCACGGTTTCCTTTAAGCTTCCTGTGGGTTTTCCGACTCAAACGTCAAATGAACCACAGGCCAAACCTAGGGGTGCTTTGGTGCGGTTGACCCCTAGTTTATGAAGTAATTTGGTTTATGAGTAGATTGTTCGTAGTGGCTTGTTTTGCACAAACCCCGCTTCGCAGTTTGATTTGCAGCCGCCCGATGGCGTTGAAAGGCCCTCGACCGTACCCCGAAAGTGGCCGAAAGTGGCCTCGAGTCCTCGAGCGAGCCGCAGGCGCAGCATTTCGCCTTCTTGCTGGACCAGCTTGGCGTGTGAGCGGTGAAAATGACGGCAGGTCTCCCCAAGAGCTTCAAGGGCTCCATACCCGGCGTCCCCATAACCAACCAGATCTCAACTTGGCACGTGGCCGTGCAGAACATTGGCAGACAAAAGGAGTACGGCTTACCTGTTTGAATTGTTGCCTTTTGGTGTTCCATCATTTTGCCAGCGAAAAATGTCCAAGTTATCACTCTTGGCAGCGGGGTTGAGTCTGGCCCAGAAGATGCCAGGGCCAGAGTATCCTAAACTCGTGATTGCCCACGACTTGTTCAAGGATGATGTAGCTCAGTCTACCCCCAAGCTCTGTATTTGTTCTTTGGCTTCTGGTTGACAACTCCCAAAGAGCAAGTTATGCTTGCTAACTTCAGACTGGAACGAGGGCCATACTCAGAGGATTTTTCGGAGCTTACTTCAAGTTGCTTCACATTCCTAAATGTGTGCTTTGTGTTTTCACGAATGGTGGGGGGCCTAACAAAAGGCGCATTTTCCTTTGCTTTGTCCTCAAGCAGGGTTCCGGTAAGTTCGGGAGCTCCAGTTTTCTGGAAGCTTATTAAACTAGCGCCCTTGCACACACGCAAATATCAAGGACTCTACCAAAGAAAACAAGACAGTCCCCCCAACCATGAAGGCCTAATTTGGCCCTTATGTTTCTTCAAGAAGTAAGAATAGCTTCTCCAACTCTCCCATGGCTTTGGTCGCAGCGTCCCACCTTCGGCCCCGATGGAGTCGAGGTCATCCTGGGGTTGATCCCCTTCAGCCGCGATGGGTGCCTTGGGCATGCCTTGGGCTTGCTTCGTGAGCCATCGGCGCTACCCCCAGCCCTTGAATCAAACAGAGGACCATTGAACACCCCTCGTTTCCCTCTTAAACCAGGCGGGAAGAATAGGGCCCCTCAAAGTTAAGCGTTGTGGCGAAGTCACTTTTGGGCGGGCCAGAATTGTGAGAGTGGATTTTGAGTATGTCGCTTGCGCCGCTGGACGGCCCCGGTTTCCCCCAGGAATTTCAAAAGCGGGCGCCAGAAAGAGCGGTGGCAAGGGGGGTGGGGGGGAAGTGAGTGACAAGATGGTGGGAAGAAGGTGACGGACACGTTTCGTCTTTTTTTCTGCTAAAAAACGAGGGGGCGGGTCGTAGTTCTTTTCTGGCAAAAACGTGAAGGGGGGGGGGGGGCAGTGCGGCGAGTCGTGCCAGGTTTCCTGTGGCCGTGTCAGCGCTGCGCCCGGCTGGCGGCACACTCCACGTGAGCCGTCCGCTCGGTGTCCGCGACCAAAGAGGGGGAGGCCACAGCTGCCTTCCATGTCAGTGCTGCAAAACAGTCATATTAGAGAGGATCAGGGCCTCTTGTGGGCAACCCCCTGTGTGTGTGTCTGTGTGTGTGTGTGTGTTTGTTTACCCGTAGAAATGAATATGTTGTTTATTGTCCCTTGTTGGTTTTACAGGGAATCGATTTCAGAAATATATTCTTATTTGTTCCAGGGGGCGTATAGCGCAAATGGAAGCTAAGGGGTGCCCTTTATGCTTGCCATGTGAAGCAAAGCGACCAAGTCTGCCGTTGAGAGGATTTGGAGGGAGATGAAGGGAGGTCTCTGAGAGGGTCTGGACTTCTAGGCCGGTCCCTTTATTGGCCGGTCATTTTTTCCACGGGGCTTAGGACGCAAATGGAGGTTTTGCTGTGTGTTGGTTTGCTCCAAAAGTACGGTGAATGGGGTTCCCGGAGTGACCGTGGGGCCATCCTCTTGCTTGGCCGGGGAGTTTCAGCCCAAACGTGAAATGAATCCAACGGTTTCAGGGATGCAGGGTTGTGGGATGCCAACTTAGCTAGAACTGTTTGCAGAGCCCCTGCCGTGCCCAACCCAACACCACAGTGCGCTCTTGACTTGCAACCTGCGCCTCAACCGAGGCGTCGACTTCGAGGCAAGACGAACCCTAACTCCAACCTCTTTAAAAGCCACCAACCAAGCGGTAGCAGCAGGGTTGCAGCGCAAAATGTTTCACAGGTTTCACCACTTGTGTCCGCAGTTCCTGGGCGGAATGCCCAGCGATGCTGCAACAAGCCCACACTACTTGTGGGATCACCCAGGGTGTATCCCACGTTTGTGAGAACGGGATCTCCCGCTTGCGGGGAAGTTAACTTCTCGGTGTATCATAGAAGCGGAATCCATTTCCCACAGCCCTGCGGGCACCCACTTTGAAGACGAGGAAAACAAAACAGGTCAAGAAGATCCTTTTGCGCCTTGAGTGGGAGGGGCCGCACTTCTCTCCCAAAACCTGAGGGCTTGTCATGTATTTGGGCCTTGTACATGGCCACGGGCATACCTGAGGACCAACGTTGATCCGGGGCCGCACGTGAGACACGTAATGATATTCCCCCAAGTGCGAACTTGGGAGACGACCCCCACCGCGAGGTACATTGGAATGCCGCCGTGGATGCAGAAGTGGCCTACCACTCAGGGCTTGGGCTTAGGGTGTCCGTTCAACGCGAATCGACCGAATCTGACCTTTTCGTTTGTCAATCAGCTGGTGCTTCTTCTTAGCCGGACCGCCCGCAGCCATCATGCCCAGATGTTGAACCTGTTGTGGCATTGGGTTTCGGGCAGGGCCCTTATCCTTTTGAGCTCCCAATGGGAATAATTCGAATTGGCAAACCCACTTCGCAGAGCATGGATGGTAGCTAGAAAAGAAAAACCCCTTGATTGAGGATGCCGTAGATTGATGTGTGGGGTGCGCTTGGCGGAGAAAAAAGAAAGGCTGCGACTGTTGAAGAGTTGGAAAGAGTGGCTGGTGGACATACATGTCCCCGCAAACGATGTCCACCAGTCCGTTCCCAATTGAAATTGCCACCCACAGCAGCGAAGTTTCAACTGTCTTGCGCATCTTCCTGTCGATGCGGAGGGAACAGAAACCAACCCCCGGCTCGGGATTGAAACGATTCAAGCGGCTTGGTCTCGTATCACGGCCATGGATAACCAGAGTCCTTTGTGGTGGGTCCCTGGAATGGATCTGCCTCGATGTGACGCTTTTTGGGGTTGGACCATTTTGGTCAGGCTACTTTTGGAAAGACCATTTTGGACAGAGCAAACAAAAAGATCAGACCACTTTTGGCCAGTCCACTCGGGAAGTGAGACACTTCTAAAGTGCAGCGTTGGCCTGAGATGTCGGGAACCGGTGTGAAGAACTGCATCCCACCTTCTGTTTGCCTTGGGTTCTACCTCTCTTGCCTGGCCACAATGGGGAGTCAAAGAAGTCTGGGGCTCCTCCTATTTCGCACAGGACGTCGCCATCAGCGATTCGGAGAAGGCAAATCTTCCGAATCTTTGTCTTATGGACCACCCTGACGCAACAGGCTTTTGGGAATTGGGTGGGGGCACATGACTCCCATATTCCATTTCTCGCCGCTTCCATCGCTAGGACACCTCCAATCCCAGCTGTTACGGCCAAGGCTGACGGGGTTTGCTTTCGGAGCCATCGGGGAACTTCCCCTGACAGCCCAAGGAAACTGCAGACCAGGTCGCTTCGGAGGCGCGGTTGCCGCGTGCAATGTGCTGGGGGGCCCCGTAGCTATTTGACGATCGGTTGGAGGTGTTGTTTGAGGGCACCTTTCGGTTTGAAGCTGGGCGCAGGGAAAGTTGCTGAGACCAAACCCATTTCAAGATTTCAAGAATGCATAATAGTTGTACGTGGTCCATGGAGACGAATGAGAGGAACCGATGCTTGTCCTTCATGGTGCCCTCCAGCCCGGACATGCCAAAGCGTCCCAAGGTATCCAGATCCTTTCAAAACGGAGACTTGGCCAATCTAATCAATCGGGATGCAAGTGCAACAGAGGACACGCCTCTTGCAACCCAGGGGAAGAATTGAGGATGGCCTGTTGAACTGCCGTGCCGTAGAAACAAGCATCAATGGGGGCGTCCAAAATTTTCCAGAAAAGCGGCAGGCTGTTAATGTACATTGACAGGTGGTCACTCATGCAAAATACGCAGTCTGAAAGCCAGGTGAGGGTAACAATCATTGTTCGGAGCCAAGAGATGGGGTAAAAACGGTCGACGCCTGTATTTCCAGGTCCTTTGGTTGCAAATCGCTTTGGGCCTTGCACAGGTCCAGCAGATCCTGCAGGAGAAGCGAGGACGCCCCGGTTTCGGGGCTCCGATCGGTTAGCCGATCGCTCGGGCCCATGGTTGAGTGGCTTCCCCGTATTCTAACCTCTATTCTGACCTCTCCACTGGACGACCCGACAACGGGGGAAAGTGTCCGATGGAATGCCGAAGGGCTGTGCCAAGCTTCAGGCGCAAGCGTAGACATTCTGACCCTCTCCCATCGCCACGTCTGGGTTTGGACAACGTTTTGCGGTTGGAAAGTCACTTACCTGGGACAATGCCCACCTAGATAGCCAAGTTGCCGCTTGTTTCAGTCACTGTTGCTGGTTTTTGGGTAAAGTGCAGGGAAAAAAACAGCAACTGGCGATCCAGGCAGCAGCAAAATCTCGGGCTTGGTAATAACTTGTACCGTCACGCGCTGCCTCATGTTGCTCGTTGGCCTGTTTTCCCTGTGCGTCAGGGGCGAGTGGAGGTTCTCCGTTGGTCGCTTGAAACCTTGCTGTTGATGGTGTTTTTTTGTTTTTTTGTGGAGGAGCAGCATGTAATTCATTTAGGTATGCCTTGGGGTTTGCCATGAAATGCAGCAGATTTCTATCATTGGCCACCTTGTGTCTGACATTGCGAGCTGTCTGGCGGGGGGTTCGGAAGCCTTTCATTTGCTCAAAGATTCCCGGAGGGGGTGGTACCCTCAATAAATGAACCAACCAATAAGACAGAGTCGCCCAGTTTTGCACCTTGGCAGCTGCCTTACGATGGGCAAAGCATTGCACACATTTTGCAAGCCATTTGTGGGAGGATAATAGCGCCATCCGGAAGAAACAAAAACAAAACGGGATTCCCTTCCCCCCCCACTTTCCAACTCCGGTGGTTGCGTCCTTGTTTCTAGTACCCCCCCTCCCCCTTGAGAATTCGCTTTAAAGAAAAGCCACTCCGTGTGAGGGCCCCAAACTCCAGCCGAAAACAGGTGATGCCATTCGATTTGCGCCAGGACCCCACTGGCGCGCGCGAGCCGGGAGCTTGGATGTTGGGCCGAGAGTGTCGAGTGGGAAAATCAGAACTCAGAAGCCAGAAATATTCAGAATGCCGAGCCAAGGGGCCTTCATGGGTGGATTTGGGCTGGGTTTCAGCTAGGCGTGCATTCAGTTTGGGGTTATGATGGTGCAGGTTGATTCAGGTTTAAAGTGACTGCAAGGTGGGAAAACACACCATTCTCGCAAAAGCAAAAAGGCTATTTCGGTTCAGGGATCCCCAAGTAAAGCACCACCATCTTGCCCCCAAATCCGTGTAGGGCAGAAAAGGCAAGCCGACCCCAAACCTACTCGACATCAACCAGAAGCCCAGCCACCAACCTCACCAGACCGCTCTAGACTAACCTTGAACCCACCCAAAACCCACCGTCAGCCCAGTAGAAACTGTTCAAGATCAAAATTGAACTGCTGAAAATGAACATGATCCTTGGCCTGAAGACGACTTTTCGAGGTGATATCATTCCAATCCGTTCGGTATTTTATGTGCCCGGGGTACCTTCAATCATTCTTTGTATCATGACTCCCTATTCGACCTCTCATTTTTTGACGGAACCTGAGAAGATGACTGTGAAGGCGGTCGGAATACTTCCAACTTTCTCAGCTCCTTTTGTCTCGGGTTGATAGAAGTCGGCTTTCTTTGAGCTGAGGTTTACTCTTGCAGGCCCCAGCAGGCGAACCAACCTTTTATTCCAGGTCCATTTGGCAGCTTGGACTTTGAACTCAGTCCAATGCGAATCGACCTGATATGAGCTTCTGGTTTTTCCTTTTCGGGTTCCCACTTCTGGTAAACGTGCCAAGAGGTGAGTCTTTTTTATTGTTCTGGGTCCAAACTGGGCAAGTGAGTTCAGCACCGCCGTCCCTCAGCTCCGTTCCAAAACGCCTACCCGGAGGTGACGCACGTGCAGCGGGTGAAGAACTTCGCGCCCCGGGCGGCCGCCTCAAAAGCTTCACCGCGAGCGTCCTGGTTTCCGAAAAATGGAGCCACCATGTGCAGCGCGTTTTGCGGCTTGCAAACGGGAAGCCAAAGGGAAACAACCCGCACCATGAGTCGGTTGTCAGGTAAAGGGCACTTGAACGGACTCCCTTTTTGACCTGTCCAAAAAATGGAGTCCTCCATTTCAGGACACGGCCTTCCTAGAATTTTGATTTTTGATTCGGGCCAAACACCGGAAGCCCATCCTATCTTCGCTGCGTCGCTCTGGCACCTCTCTGAGGTGCGCCACCTGCGCATCGACGTGGCGTGTGAGCCGCAAGGGTAAAAGGTGATCGTGCGATGTCCCACAAGTGTCACCCACTTTCCCAAAGCGAATCGACCTTTTCACCTTTTGGTTTCCCTGATTTGGCAACCGTTTTTGGTAAAGGTCCCAAAAGGTTAACCTTTTATGTCCAGGTCCTTTGGGCAAGTGAGCTCAGGCAGTGTCCATGTCTCAGGGTTCCCCGCATCAGGGGTCCGGCTCGATTTTCCCTTTTGGGGGGTAAACGTCACCTGGTGGGTGAATGTTCGGTGAGCCTCCCTTGATCATATGAGAACCTTGGTATGTTTGCGCGGTTGGTGGTCTTGTACTCACCCATTGAGATGAGCTTCCTTCTGGTAAGGTGATGTTTAGAGGGAAGTAGAGGAAACATTGTGTTTAATAGCTTTGCCGGCTTGTGTTGACTTGGCCCATGCGAAGTGAACACCTACAAAAAGAAGCAGCTGGTGCACTTGCAAGACTATTGCAGTTCCTGCGGAGTTGGCCACACTGTTCGGCTCCACTCTGGACGTCGCAGAATGCAGGGACATGACGGCGTCGATGGCTCCAGGTAGCGGTAGAACAAGCTCAGCGAACAGAGCTCACGAATAAGTCCATGAGGGTACCTTGTTGAAAAGATAAAAGTGTTTTAAGCGGATTCTTCAGCAAAAGTGTCGCTGATTTGAGCAGATCAACGGAAAGATCTCACAGAAGATGGCTGAGGGACCAGAATTGGCAACCCGGTTGGAGAACTCTTGGTAGTTTTCGGGCCTAGGGGCACACAATCCAAAGGATCGAACTGTGGATCTAGGGATGCAGCAAAGAAACCCCTCGAGTGGGCTCCCTGGCTCCTAGCCCACTTGAGCCCAGCCAGCCAAAGCCTGGAATCCTACGCCCGCGTGGAACGGCAAGCCCCTCTTTGGGGTCCAGCCAAGCCCCTCAGTCCGGGATGGCGCATTGAGCGGAATGGCGATGGCCGCTCGGTGACAACTTATGGCACGTCAGTGGTATACCAAGGAATCCCCACCCCCCTGAAACAAGGAATTGGGGGAGGGGTGACCCGCCACCTCCCCCCTTATGGTAGGGCGGATGCCCAGCATGATGTTCTCCCCTTAAACTAAGCACAGGAAGCTTTCGCCATTTCAAGCGTGTGTGTCCGGATGCTGTCCAATGTCCACAGTTGCTCTCCAATTTTGACATTATCCACACAAAATGTCGTTCCCGCAAAGCAGTGTTTGTGAATCCAACCATAAATCCACCGCAGCGAGACGCAAATCCATCGCCACTCAGGACGCATGGGCCAAGATGCGAAGCTTCGCAAGAAGAATGCGAAGCCCTGTGCCAGGGGCTTGGCTGCGGGAGAGACGGGGAGCTAAGGGGAAGAGTTGAGTTAGGTTGCCTCTCCACTGGTTGCCTTCTACCGATTCCCAGGTTGCTCGATTTGATCAACTTGTTTTTGGATCTAGGTGGCCAAAAGAGTTGAGTGAATTACTTCCACTTGCTGAAAAGAATATGTTTCATTTTCCCGTGTTGGGAAAGGGAATCCATCACTGGAACGATTTTGGTGTTTTCCGAGTTTAAGCAAATGGAGGCTTGAATTGTCGGGGAGTGGTTGGGGTGGTTGGGCTGGTTGACGCGTTTCGGGGTGATTGCGGTTGGTTGGGGTGTTTGATGCGTGCGGGGTGGGTTGATGTGTTGGCTTTGGGGTGTGTTTTCCTTTCACGGCTCCCAGGCTGCCAGTGAAGCGTTTCGGGGGCACATCCAGTCAGCATTTTGTCGTTCGAGTGATCAAAGCCCTCAGGGCTAGAGTTGGCGAGCAAAGCGCGGCAGCTTTTTGAACTGTTGGGACATCAAGTTGGTTTTCCACTGGCCCACAAAAAGTGAATCTTCTCAGCAATAAAGCAATAAAGAGAGAAACTGAGGTACTTTCATGGGACTCATGAAGCCCTCCGTGTTGGATGGATTGCTTCAAACAAAAAGGGTGAGCCATGTGCATGTATGTAAGGGATCTGCCGTGGTTGGGAAGCCCAATGTGTCCAGTGAGGGGTTGCATTGGTATCAAGACAAGCCAGGGCGGACTCACAGAGGCGTGTCACAACGTTTTCCGTTCAGCTCATCATGGGCTCGTTGAATCGCCATGATTCAACCATGCATATATGTACATGGATGTACCAAAAGTAAAGAACCTGTCAAAGTGGTTGGTTGCCTGTCACTTCCCCTTTGAGCATCCAAAGAGGACAACCATTCTCTTAGGAAACACACAAAACTGGTTCTTATTTCGTGACCCTTTGGTGTGACGGTTATATGATATGACTTTCCTCATCATCAGCTGGGCTCTTCTTTTCGGCGATGCAAACGATCGCAGTCGTTTCCAAATCCTGGCCAGCCATCCATTTTGAACAGCCCCCAAAATGAGCCACCAAGACGTGATGTCTGAGGAAGCCAAGGGTAAAAAATCCCACTGGGTGCAGAATCCCGCTTCTTTCCACACCCCCCCAAACCGGCCATAACCCAAACCCAACCCGATCACCTGACACGAAGTCCGCCTCGAAGCGCTCGAACCGGAGGCGTGGCCGGAGGCCTTGCGGCGCCTCCAGCAGCTGCCGGCCCAACGCCTCCGAGGCCACGGAGCGCGAGGGGTGACGGGTGACGGTGGCCGCGTGGAGGGGTTGGTCGGATGGAGTTCCCATGGAAAAAGCGGTGGTGGTCCAATTCTCCTTGGCATAGGGGATGAATGGTTTATCTTGGGGTCATCCAGTTAACCATGATTCCTGAAACTATGCTCCTTCTTCTTTCCTCTTTTTTTTGGGGGGGGCCTCCCAAACTCACACTTGCCAACAAACATAACCAGCCCACCCAAAGACCTGGAGGGTAGCTTGTTTGCAGGGTACCATGATTCTTCTTCCTTTCTTGTCAACAGCCGAACGGAATCCCATGTTGAGGTCTCCCTATTTTGACACCCGACCTTTGCCCTTTTAGGTCCTTTACCTTTCGGTTCTCGACCTCAACCACCCCCCCAAAAAAAAAAAAAAAAGAAAGAAACAAAACAAAGTACCCCCACCCCCCTCCGCATTCAACCCCCCCCCCCCCTTCTCCCCAAAAAAACACAGGTAGCCCCCCACCCCCTCCCAATCTTTACCAGAGTTTCCTTCCCTACCAAGCCACCAATCCAAACCACTAGAGGGCAGCTGAGTTTACATTTTAATAACTAGAAATACCCCACCCCCTCCCCTCCCTCCCAATCTTGATTCATACCAGGCAGCGCCATCCACTTCAGCCGCGCCATGGGCCCCTGGCGCCTTTCCACCGCCCTGCTGGGCGCCATGCGCGCCACAGCCGTGGAGGCGGTCTCGGTCGCATCATGGAGCACGAGATTTCGCGTTGTGATTTGGATCGATAAGGCAAGCCATACTGTGGAAGGGCGACATCCTCCACCACCTAAGAAATGCTTCCCTTGTAAATACCAACAAGCAGTGGTTTCAACTATAATTTATTAGTCATAACCATCCACTAGCAACCCAAGTGAGTCTCGGGGACAAATGGTACGTAGCGGTTGGTTGGTTTGTCACATGAAGCGAAGCCTACCCCCCCCCCTCCTGAACCCTTTTGTGCTCCGCCTCCCTGTAAATCTCTTTGTGCCCGGTTTTGAGCATCGCTTCTAATTGCTAATTTGAGCGAAAACCGGGAAGCCAAACAGGAACTGCACAGTTCTAGGGACCCTTTGTTTCTGCACACTCTGAACATGATATCTTCTTGAACCCTGCCCCCAGGTGAGGCATAAGAAGCTGATCAGGCTATCTCAATGTTCAAGGGGGAACTTCTTCCTCTTCAAACGAAGCCGCAGTCAATTGGGTGATGTGAAGTGAGGTTCCTTTCGTGACGGACAAACCCTCCAGCCCTGTGCAGCCTCCAAATATCCCTCAATTAAAGCCTACATGAAACCAGTTCAGATGAAGGCTAGTTGACAAATCGGACATTCGTTGACAAAGGAGGCCAAAGGGGTGATGATGTCTTGATTGCTATCGGGTTGGATCTTTAGACTGTAGTATCAAGTTAGATTGCTTTTCTGAAAACAAACCCTAAGGGTTATTTTCACTCTTTGCAGAGGGGCCCGTTGCTTGCTCGCGATGCAGAGGGGTCAACAGCAACCGGAATTTCCGGCCGCCCAGGCCGACGCCTTCTGCGGCACCGCCCTTCTGTCGGCTTTGCGCAGCTGGCAGAGGGGTTTGGCCCTTCACGCCGCCCAGGCGTCCGGGGTTGACTTCAGGACGTCTGAACCATTTGAAGGAAACCTCCAGCTAGGTCCCCCAGCTGGGTGCCCTTTCTCTCCGCTTTTTTGGGGGAGGGTTCCCCTCCTAAAAATAGACTACAGAAAACAGGGTACCCTTATTCTAACCTCTCTACTGGAGGACCTAGCCAAAAGCAGAATCCGGTCGGAGATCGTTTCAATGGAAACGAGTCGGTTCATCAACTTTTGAGGGAAGCCTTTCGTCACCCCTGGGGCCACCCAAAGACAGAGTCGCGGATAGATTGTGTGGGGCCCATGTTGGAGTCCAGACTCTGTCGCCAATTGAAACGACAGCGCCTTCAAGCCCGGAGAGTGCCTTCCTTGGTGCGGTGCGGTGTTCCTAGCGAGCGTTTCGAATCTCCTGTTTAGCAGCAGCAGCAGCGAGACACACAAATGTATACCTACACACACCCACCCGCCCAACCACCGACCCAAATGCACACGCGGCTCAAATGCTAGGCAGTCTTTTCCATTTAAACCGCAGGGCCGGAACCCAGGGGTTCATTCCCAGTGAAGGACCCCCTGCCTGAAAGCCCTTTCGGGGCAACTATAAACATGGAATTTTGCGGAAGCTGGAAGGGATTTGGGGAGTTTCCATTGATTCTAATGCAAGTTGACCCAAGCCCAGCTAATGTTGAGGCAAATGTCCGGCGCCCCGGAGGTGACTGCCAGCAACCGTTTCACCATGAACGCAGCCTGAGCCCCGGAGGGCTCCAGAAAGCCTCAAAGCATCCGCTCGGAACCCGGAGTTTGGTCCATAGGTTTGATGGCGCACCTCCGGGTTGAGCGCTTGATGCAAAGGAAGCTCAAAGAAATAGGTAGGCCCTTGACAGATATCCAGTTTCCTGAGGGAATTATGTGTTGGGTTTGTTTCAATGAATCAATGGGAAGCCAACCCCTTTTCGGTTCCATCCCCTCTTTCAGCAGCTCAGAGCTTTTGCTGCCCGCAAATGGGTGGGCATTACGTGCATGGCCCCAAAGGCCAGACAGGGAGTGCTACTTTTGGGAAACTGCCATTTGCTGAAATGATTTTTGATATTTTCCCTCTGGAAAATATGTACTTTTCCAGGACAAATGAAAGGAAGTGCTCAATCAAGTGCTGATTATCTGTATACAGCCGCTAAGGGGAAGGCTTCTCCAGAAACTTGCCCCACCCGAGCGCGTAACATCACCCCTTGAAATGGGAATGTGTCAAAAGGGCAAATCTGTGGTTTCATTTCCCTTTGATTCCCTTTGTATCAACCCAAGGGCTGCCCTCAACCCGGGAGGATTTCGTCGCAGCGGTGGGTTTTGTCCGTCTAAGGCCATGAGCCTTTGCGAGAAGGCTGGCCAGTGGAGGACCACCTTGGCCCTGCTAGGCTCGGATGGGGAAGGATCTCGGAAATCGCTTTTGGCGCTCTTCCATTTGGTTAAGAATATTTTATATTTCCCCTGTTGGTTTTAAAGGGAATCTATCACCACTGGAAATATTGTTTTTCCCAGGGGACTCCAGCAAATGGAATATCGCTTTCTTCGATATTCCCTGAGTTCTTGACAGTTATGTCAAAACTGACTGGCTCACCCCCCTCCCCCCCCCCCAGCAGTGCCTAAACTTGGCGGTCGATTCGCGCCACCGTCGCCTCCTTGGGGCGCCAGGCATCGACCCAGACACCATCTCCTTCAACACCGCCATCAGCGCCTGCGAGCTCCTCGGCGAATCGCTCGAAGGCCCCCACCCTGACCCCAACAGACCTTGTCGATTGCTTTGAAGGCATTTGCTTGGCAACAAAAAATGGTCGTGCTCCATTCCAGGACCTACTGAGTGCTTTTGGGCATCCTGTGTTATGCCCTGTTTTGGCTCGACCTGGTTTGAACCTCGCTGCTGCGAAATCGGTAGGGGATGAGAATTGGAATAACATGGTTTGCCTTTGTTCTTTCTTTTTTTCTTCTTTCGAATTTCCGACCAAAGGAAACCACAGGAAATGGATGGTTAGGGGTCATGCCGATTCTCATGCCCTGGCTATCGCACCAGCAAGTAAGTTGGTTGGAAAACAACTGTTTCCCCGCTAGCCAAAAGCTTTCTCTTTCCGCAGTGTGTTAAAGACCAACCCGGTTTGTAGCTGGCAATGCTTTGCAGTTGCAAAGCTGCAGGGCAAGTTTGTCTCTGCTCTCAGCCAGGTGATTGTGGCTACGGATTTGGTACACTGCATCTATTTGTTTGGACAAACCAGAGAATCAAAAGATGCCCAACTTCAAATTGATCGAAAATGACCAGTTTCCTTGAAGCTTTTAAGGAATCGCGGTTTTGAGGGGATCCCCAAAAAGGAAACTGCCTGGACAATTCCCTTTCGATTCGGGTCTGCCGAACATCCCCATCCCCTTGAATATGGTTGATGGCGGGAGGGGGGAGTAAACGACCCCTCAAAAAAGCTCCATGTCGTGCTTTTTGCAATTTCACTTTTTTGGGAAGACTAGATACATAGATTTGGGACCTTAAGCCCCACCCCCCCTCCCCTACGGGGTATGGTGGAGCCGGCCTGAGGTGGTGCTGGTCCCTGCACTTCCTGGAGGCCAACTCAGGACGCGCTGTGCTTTCGACAGAATGACCGGTGCGGTTCACTTTGGGGCACCCCTCGGTTTTGGTGAAGAAGCCAACGAGTTTTGGGATCCATTAAGACCCCCCTTTCTCGCTTTTGGTTAGGGAGAACCTTCAGAAGCAAACGAGGTTTGGGGGTCAGCCCATTTTGAGATATGGTGAAGGGGACACCTTGGCAGGAGCCACTCCCATCACCTACAACTCTGCCATGCAGGCCTTGGCCAAGGGAAGCCAATGGGACAAAGCCCTCGGCGCCTCGGACGCAAAAAACCGAACCAAACGAGAGGTCCCAATGAAAGTTGCGTTTTAAAGCCACGCCCAGATGGCTTTAATGTTAATTGCTAACTATCTACATTGCGGCAATTTGCATAAGGAAATTGCATCGCTGTTTGTGTCACCTTCCCATGGTTGCATGCATTCTTTGCATGCTGCTGGCTTCCCGTTTGGCCTTCCAAAACCTACACAAATACCAAACTACTAGGCCATCCTACCCCAAACCATCCCCACCTTTCAGCCGTTGGCTTTCGGTTGCTCGTGCTCGAGAAGCTCCCAGGTTTGCTCGAAGAACTCTGCGGCCGCAGATGGCAACCAACTCCTGTCACCATCTCCACGGCCATCATGGCGTGTGAGAGAGGCGCGCGGCGCAAAATTCGGCGCGCCCCTTGCCTCGTGGGGAATCAATGGGGGCTTTCGGGTTGAACCCACAGGGCCAACGTTGCAATCCCGCCCTTCTCAGTTTGGCTGTGGGAATGGACCGAATCCGGGGATCCCCTTACAGGAAACCACAAGAGACAGGTAGGGGTTATTCCCTCGCTCCCCGAGCCCAAGCCAAATCGAGCTTTTGCCTTTTTGGGGGTTACCAGTTTTGGTCCAATTGTTGGTCAAGAGATTGTTTCTGAGTGCTGCCCGGACCTTTGGGTTTCTTTAGAAGTTGTTTCTTAGAAGCGTGTTTTGTTTGCTTGGCCCTTGCGGTCGGCAAGTCAGCCAGCGGCGGTCTTTCAGCTCCCGTTGCTCCGTGTCGAATGCGCAGGAAGCCTAGCGGGCCCCAAGGGAACCCGGGGCTCAACCAGCTTGTACCGGCCTCCATATCACCAGCCTTTCGACAACGAGTAAAACCGCTGGATTCAAAGGCTGGGGGGAAGAATGGTGCATTTGTGGAATTGCCACAGGTTCGCAGAGTCCAGCTGCACCATTGCTTCCAATGATCCATCAAATCCCGGTCAAAGGTCTAACCTTCTGCAGGTTCAACCATTTGCTTCCAAAAGGTCTACTGGGCTAAGATCACACCAAAGACCAGGCATGACATGCTTTTTGTGAAAGTATCTTCTTGTTGGCTTCCAGTTCCTTGGGTTGAGCAAGTGGCAGGCTCTCTCAGCTGTAGGGACGCCTCTGGAGCCAAGACTGGCATCGAATGTTCCTTTGGTTTCTGGCGGACCATCCTGCAGGGCCGCTTCTGAAGCCGGGGCTTTGCCATAGGAACCTCAAGGGGCAAATGATGGCGTGAAGCCAGGCGCCAGTCCCAACCTCCGGGGCTCATAGATTCCCACCCCCTGGAATCGTTCGACGTTCGGGTTCCCTGGATTGGACCATGCTCCTTTCCTTTTCAAAGGACCATGTCCCAACGTCAGGTTCCGTGTGACAAGGGTGGGCGGAACTCTCGTTGCGCTGGAGTCCTCTCGTCGCCCGTGAGGCAGTCAATGGCAGCAGGCACTGACTTTGGCGACGAAGGATCTCCAGCTGATCACTGCAAGCGGCGCCATCAGCGCCTGCGACACTTGGACATGGGGTTTGATCAATCTTCCCTTCGGGCCCCAGTTTTGACCATGGTTAACTTGTCCCATGTGAAAGCAATACTCAATATTCAATCTCTGCTTGTTTTTTCCCCCAACGAATGGTCCACCCTTTACATGGGCGGCTTTGCACAAGACGCAGCGATCTCGCCGGTAGGTAACCAAAACGGGTGGGTTTGTCACTGAGTTTCGAGTTGTGTGCGCAAACCCTTGCACGCCTCAAGTAATCGACGAACCAAATCGCTAGCGATCCAGCCCCCCTCGGCGCGATATCGCAGTCTAAGCCCTCGAAAAGAACCTCTCCAAAAACACTCCAAGGCTTTCCCCATTGTTTTTTTTTTCCCGGGGACCCCCAAGATGGAGCTTGTCCTGTTGGCTTCCTTTAAAAACACGCAAGAACCAGGCACCCTGAAAGAAAGACGAGCCACCATGGCTCAGGAGAAGGCCGGGAGATGGCAGCACGCGCTGAAGCTTTTCTGGGACCTGCTGGCTGCAAAGCTGCGAGTGGATGTCATAGCGCCTCGTGAGCTTTGCCAACGGGGCTTCGGCGGATTTCGTGGCCCAAGCCAACAGGAACTCAAGCGCTTGGAGGGATCCCGCTCTTTCACACGTGCCCACAGATGCTGCAAGTAGCCTGTTATAATGTAATGGCATTGCGGGGGTCTAAGGTACCAAGGTCCCTTTTCTTAGGCAAAAACTGCAAATGAGCGCTGAAGCGGGTTATTTGCCAGTCTCCCAGTGTTCTGCTTCCTGCACCAGCTTCCAAGCTTCAGCAGTACAGGGCCCCCACATCAACTACTAAGCTTGCCAAATTGGGAGGCCACCAGTACCTAAACCAGTACATGACTTCCTTAAGGAAACCAGCAGCCGTCTTCTGAAACCATGTGTCGCTCGGAAAAAGCCGCGCTGCGTTGAGGCATTCAACGCCGCGATCAGCGCATCACCCTGGACAAACGCGCTGCAGCTGCTGGCCAGCTTGTGCCACTGCAACCTGCAGGCGCTGGGATAATGGTCTCAACCTCCAGTGCCCGTTTCTCTCGTAGGCCGGGTGCCCTTCAGAATCAAGCAGCCGAAAAGAAACGTGTCCTCTTTTCCGCTTGGACATCCGAAGGAGATTCAAGCTTTGAACTTGTTGGATTGTTCAAGCCCTTGGCTGATTCAAGGGCCCGCCACAAGTGACAACTCCCTTGCTTTCGGAAACGCCAGGAGTTCAGAGCCAGGTGGCCAACTAGCTACTTACTTTATGGCGTATTCTTTGTGAAATAATCACTGGACTCACATGCAATATCCAGCTTCAAAAACCCACGTCGAGCCCTGCTTTGCTGTTCTGCTGCAGCTGCTGTGGCCACATTGGGTAAAACGTCCAATGGGTCAGAGACCTATCCTTTCCAAACGGCCAAAGCATCCAAGCAACATGGCTGGGGACATGTGGTGGATTTTTGCTGGAATTTGGGATGGCCTTTTGTTACCTGACATGTGGCTTTCCTGGGCAACAGATCGATGAAGCTGGAGGGTCTAGGCCGATTCGGCTTTGCATTTTCAGGTGTTCAGGATGTTGAACCATTCGCCGGCAAAGACTATTTTGCCGCGCACACACTCTGGGCTCCTAGAGTTTCGATCAGCCAGGTGCATACAAGCTACCCCTGGGAAATGCCCGAGACCAAGAATGGTCATAAGGTAGCACTGGTCTTTTTCAATCAACCTTGGTCATTTTGCTTCAGCCAACCAAGTCTATGGGCTTGAAAACCCCGCTTGCGACCATCCAAAGCCAACCAACCCTTGTTTTCCTCCTCCAAACAGAGGTAACTGTCAAGAGGCGAACTCGTGTTCCAGAAGCGGCGCAGGCCACCATGGTCTCCCAGTCCGCGGTGGGGACCAGCTGCGCTGCTGGGAGCCTCTCGCCCTGGCTCAGAATCAGCGAATCCTCCGGCTCAACTTGGGCTTTGAGATGTTTTTGTTATTTGTGTTCTTGGTTTTAGTCAGTGTTTAGTTGTTGTTCGTTGTGTTGTGGTTTATTTGGTTTTTCTTTAGGTGTTAGTAGGTTCTTAGTTGTTGTGTTCAGGTTTGAGGGGGTTTTAGCTGTGGAAATGTGCCTACGTTTCCGAATTTAACCCACAAGCTCGTCACTTTTAGCAGGGGATCTGAAACGGACTGCCTTCTTGCCCTTCGATGGCTGATTGAGACAGAGAGAGGCGCCCAAAAGAAAAGTTGATCCAGGGACACGTTCACTATCTGAGTAGAAGGTGTACTCTGGGGGCCTTGCACTTGGCCAGCTCAGTGGTATTTTCCAACAATGGGGGGTCTGCACCGGTTGGTTTTTCTCTTGGCGAATCAATGGGTCCCCGTTTGGAATTCACCCGGCCAAGTGGCGCCCAGTTTTTCTTTGGGCCAAGGGAAAAGGCACCCAGATCATTGCATGTGCGGATAGTCTCACTGTTCATTCTTGTAAAAAAATGGCTTCAAGCACCTTGAGAGCACGACACGAGGTGCAACGATTGCCGCGAACTCCTTGTAGGGAGATGATGATGATTAGCTGGTCTAGAACTTGTTTAATAAGGATTCAAGGGTCCGGTCCCACCTTGGTGGCCATAGTTGCCAAGTGGCTGGCGCTTCAGGACACTGGCGGCGAGCCCTGTTGTTTTCCAGACGTTCTTTGGTTGGGACGCTCGGCTGCACGCTTTGTACCCAATTGGCGGGGCACTCTAAATGGATTGATGTCGGAGTTATACCGACGGTCTTCTCCTGTTTGCCCACATACTTGCCTCTTGATTTCTGCTTCTTGCTGGCAGGTGTCTGCATCGCGTTAGTCAAGGCCCAAAGCAGTTTGGAAGCCTCGTCCTGACAGAGTGCGACTGAGAAGTCATTCCACTGAATTCAGAGCACACTCATCGTGACAGCCCTGGCTTGGGCCCTTGTTCACTGAATTGTTACGTTTCGCGATCATGTGTGCGTTCTCTTCTTTTTCGCGCGCTGGTTGTGAAATCGGGCAAGGGTGACGTTGTCACCAAGAGTCATTGGAGCATCCTTTTGTATTTGTTCGTTACGCTTGCCATGAATTTATTACTGGATGAGTTCAAAAGGGATCCCAGTGCCCTGAACTGTCAGCTACGGATCTACGAGCTGGGCAAATACTTGGTTCGTATTGCAGGTAGATTGTGTGCCCCAGGACAATTACAGTTGTGTTTGGAAATCCGTCTTTTGCGCGAAAGCCAACTGTTTGGGTAAAACGTTTGGGGGAGGGTAGCAAATGTCCAATTTGGAAGGTGCAAATGTTTTTCGGCTGCTGGGTAAGCATCAAACTGAGCCCAGACCTGGCAGCCGTTTCTTGCGTAATGTTCTTGGCTGCCTGGGCAAATACATCAACTTCGGGTTAAGCTGGAAGATCGCTGCAAGCCCCACAAAGATGAACGATCCATTCCGCACGAAAAGGCAATCCACACCTGCAAAATGTGCATTCTATCCGAAGTTCACATTCCATGGAAACGAAGAACCTCAACCCCATCCGCCTGGGGCGTCTGAATGCCATATGTCGTGTTTTCCCCAAGTAATATTTTCCAAGTTTGGCTGAAAACCTCCAGTTTGGCTTGTGCTTTCCAATGTTTCAAGCAATTCCCTCATGTATTCACATGTTTGCCGCAGCCCCATTTTTTGTTTTTCTCCGTATATCTATTGGTCCCCCTTGTCTCCCATATGTGTCCCCTCCCCCATTGTTCCATGCTTCTGGGGGAAGATTCCCCATGCTTTCCAGGGATCCTTCCTTTCAGGAAACCATCAAACACCCAGACAAGAAACGCTGGGTCTTTGAAAACAACATTAAGAATGGCAAAGGAATCAACCGATAGAATGTTGATTGCATCCTTTTTCTGAACCCATGATAATCCATTTGGGACACGAAAAAAGGGCTGGTTTCCAATCATTGAGCCATAACGGTTGATTAACCCGCAACTTATCGGTGAAAAAACCATAATCCAGTTTTTTGTTTTCCCCTTGTCTCAACCATATGTTTCCATTGTTCCCCATGGTTCCCCCCCACTGTTGCCTCCGGTGTTGCCATTTGTAGCCCCGAGTTCCCCTGGTCTCCTTGGCACAGGCGCAACATGGCGCTCAGCGCCTGCGAGAGCACGGGCCACTGGCAGCAAGCGCTGCCAATGTTTCAGGCAATGAGGTCGGAGGCGCGGACCTGTTGGAGGGCTTCATTTTTGTGAAGTGGCTGTGGCTCAAAAAACCGGTACCAAAATGGAACCCTGGTAAGTGAAAACATGGACCAAACCCTGCGCAACCCCTCCTGCTTAATTTTGAGCCATACCCAAGTGGGTAAAAGCGGATGGCCAGGGATAGAGCTCGAACAAAAGTAGGTGCCAAAATGGGATACATGGGAGAAAGTTTCTGGAAAGGACTTTGCTTTCTGAATAAATATCAGAGTTTTCGGAGTGGTGGTGTCTTCAAAGACTTGGCAACAGTTTCCCAAAGTGGGGGTTCCCCTTTTGTGCGGTGGTTTTTGCTTTTGGTGTTTTCCGCCATCAAGACACAAGATAGAACCAACGAACCCGAAAGCACATCACTTTCTCACACACTACACAAAGGGCTGCCAGTTTCGCACTCAAATTGTCTCGGACGCAGGAGCTGCAGCGGAGACGCCTCTCTTCCTTTTTATTATCCTTTTGCTTCGCTTGTCTCTGTCTCTTCTCTTCTCTCTTCTTTCATCTCTTCATTATTCTCTTCTTTCTCCTCTTCCTTCTTTTCTTTTTTTCTCTTGTTTTTCTTCTCTGCTTTCTTCTCTTCTTTTCTTCTCTTCTTTCTTCTCTCTTCTCCTCTATGTCATCTTCTTTCTTCTCTTGTTTCTTCACTTCTTGCTTCTCGTCTTCCTCTTCTTCTTTCTTCTCTTCCTTCTTCTCTCTTCTTTTCTCTCCTCTCCGTTCTGGCTTATCTCTCTCTCTCTTCCTCCTTCTCTTCTCCTCTCACTTATTTTTATCTCATTTATCTTCTCTCTTTTCTTTGTTATGTTTTCTCTTCTCTCGCTTCTCTCCCTTCTCACATCTCTTTTGGTCTCTCTTATCCCTTCTCTCTTATTTAGTCTCTCTTTTATCCTCTATCTTCTCTTTTCTCTGCTTCTCTCATCTCTTCTTCTCTCTTCTTTCAACTCTTTGTTTCTCTCCCTTCTCTCTCCTCTTCTTCTCTCTTTTCTCTCTTCTTTCTCTTCTCTCTTTCTTTTCTCTTTTCCCTTCTTCTCTCAATTCTTCTTGTCTCTTCTTTTGTTTTCTTCTCTCTCTTCTCTCTCTTCTCTCTCTTCTCTCTCTTCTCTCTCTTCTCTCTCTTCTCTCTCTTCTCTCTCTTCTCTCTCTTCTCTCTTCTCTCTCTTCTCTTTCTCTTCTCTCTTTTCTCTCTCTTCTCTCTCTTCTCTCTCTTCTCTCTCTTCTCTTTTCTCTCTTTTCTCTCTGTTCTCTCTGTTCTCTCTGTTCTCTCTGTTCTCTCTTTTCTCTCTTCTCTCTCTTCTCTCTTCTCTCTCTTCTCTTTCTCTTCTCTCTCCGCTCTCTCTTCTCTCTCTTCTCTCTTTTCTCTCTCTTCTCTCTCTTCTCTCTCTTCTCTCTCTTCTCTTTTCTCTCTGTTCTCTCTTTTCTCTCTGTTCTCTCTTTTCTCTCTTCTCTCTTCTCTCTCTCTCTCTCTCTCTCTCTCTCTCTCTCTCTCTCTCTCTCTCTCTCTCTCTCTCTCTTTGTTCCCTTCTATCTTGTATCTCTCTGCTCTTTCTTTTCTCTTCTCTTTTTCTCTTTTCTCTGCTTCATTCCCTCTTCTCTCTTCTCGTTTTCTTTCCCTCTTCTCTCTTCTCTTTCTCTCTTCTTCTCTCTTCTCTTTCTCTCTTCTTCTCTCTTGTCTCTCTTCTCTCTTCTTTTTCTCTCTCTCTCTCTCTCTCTCTCTCTTTCTCTCTTCTGAATTTTATTTCTCTTCTCCCTCTCCTGTCTTTTCGTCCCTTCCCTTCTCCCATCTCTTCTCTTCTCTTCTCTCCTGTCCTCTTCTCTTTCCTTTTCTTCTTCTGCTTCTTTTTCCTGCCTTCCTTTACTTTTTTGGAAAGTACATAATCGATCCGCAGCAAGAAAAGTGTACTTCGCGATTTTCGAGCGCGGCGGAAATTTGCACCGCGTTATAACGAGAGCGATTCAGCCCCCAAATTCGCAGAGGGTTCACTTTGCGTTTTCAAAATGTGCACCTCGCCACAGCGAGAGCGAATCCACCCACCCAAAGTGCGCAGAGGGTCACTTTGCATTTTCAATATGTGCACCGCGCGAGAGTTCACTTTGCATGCGCGCCATGCGCGCGGGCAACATGACCGTGAAACTTTCTCCAATAAGAACGACAGGGCCGACGAAAGCAACACTCGAGCAAACGCTTGCGCAAGCATTCCAAGCAAAACACCTCAAAACGAACACCCCGGAAACGCGAATCCCATTCAATTTGCAACTCAAACGTAGAAGCTCACGAAACACTGCGCTTGTGCAGCGACACGACACGTCGAGCTTGAGAAGCTACCATTTACGCACAGGACCAGCGAAAACAGCACGTCGCAAGTCATCAAACTCACACGTTCTGTTCTTCCCCATTGTAATGCAATTTTGCACCCTGCGACGGCGAGACCGCGACGACACGACGACGAGCCGACCAACACGACGCGAACAAGGGTCCAGCCTCCAGACCCCCAGACTATAAACGGGAAGCTACGGTTGGTGTTAAAAGGCTGAAAGGAAGTCCTTGCTAAAGGGCACGGCCTGCCCATTTCGGGGTTCATCTCATTGTGGAATGCATGGATGATTTGAAGGAGCATCCTTGGCAGCAAGAATGCGCCTTGCCGGAAATTGTCAACGCTTTACCCAAGGAGTGCATTTGCTTTGTTAGGAGTCTGTTCTTCTGACCTGCCCTGCCATGAACAGGCTTGGCCCGATTGAAAGGAAATTAATTTTCAGGATGCTGAACCACTCTTCTGAAGAGTCCATATGTATAAAAACGTTGGCCCTCCGCATGGTTTGTGATCTTGACATCCTTTGCACAATAGGGTTCAACAAAGTTGGGGCACACCCAAGACGCCCTCAATCCTCGAGCCGCGTAGGCTTTGGAGCAGAGCCTTATCTCCTGGAACACCTGCACCAGTGGCCTGGCGCAGGAGCAATGGCAGGCACTCGCACCGCGACGTGATTGCTCTGCCCTGGTTTAAAGCTCAAGGTTGGTACTGCACCCAATTTTGAAGTTTGGTCATCCCAAACTCCGACCTTCGGCGCAGGCGGCCTTGCAGCTGCTCAACCAGGTGGAGGACTGCGAGTGGAACTTCCGCAGGCAGCACGGAACCTTGCATTGCTTCCATTCGCTTAAGAATCTTGTTTATTTCCCCCTGTTGATTTTAAAGAATCTATCACTACCGGAAATATTTCTAATTTTTGCAGTTGACTTAGACAAGTGGAACGCACTGCGGCGTCGAGCCTTGCAACTTCAATCACTGGAAATCACAGCGCCTGCGCACCTGCGAATGAGTCACAACCTAGGTGAAAGTGTTTTACCCGCGCAAAGTCAGTCCTGCAAACTTTCGCCTGCAAGGACTGCAAGGTGCAGGGCAATTTGATTACCCACAACGCCGCGATGAGCGCTTGCGAGTGGCCTGGCAGGAATCCAAGGCGTTTTGCCATTTGTGTTCTCTACGTGGTCCCTCTGCCTCTCGGGAATTGAATTGGGTATGGGTCAAAATCACTAGGAATCGAAAGTTTTAGTCCTTGTTTCCATTAACCCTGGTTCCACTTTGAGTACATGACTTTAACCCACACCCAATTCGCTAAAAGATAGTCCATGAGGCAGGCTGAAGAGCGATGCGTAGGTGGCATAGGTCGGCAGCAAGCGCCAGGCCAAGACACGCAAGTGTCATCCAAGCCGACAACATGAGGCTTATGAAGTATCACGAGTCTTGTTTCTCCACATCACTTATTTCAGGCATGGTTTGGAATCGAACCGATGGGTGTTGTGGAGGGTAAATGGGAAAACCACGGACTCGGCTCCACGCCACTGCAAGCGGCCCTGTCTAGCTTGCGGATCTCCAGCCATGCCAAAGGCCTCCAAACGGTTCTTTGCTCAGGGTCCCTGATGTTCCAAAGTGCATGTTAGAGGTGGCTGTCCGCATGTGCCAAGTGAGCCGGAGAGTTGGCAGGTGAAGTTGTCGTAGAACTTGCAGGATGTTTGATCTTTTGAAGTTTTTCCTCACATGTCCATGGCAGAAACTCAAGCACTCGTGGAAGTGCTGAGGGGAGCTACGTATTGGCCCGGAGCCCTGCAACTTCTAGCGGAACTGCCCAGAAAGCTCCTGCAAGGCAGAGTGGGCAGGGTGTCATGGGCGCATGAGGAAAGTTTTTGGGTTCCTTGGGAAGTTGCAGCAGTTGTTTATTTTCGTGGCTTCCAGCCACTGCTTGGAGAAATCAAACGTTGCAATAGTTGATGGCCAGTTGACAATCTGCGGGACATCATGTTTGATTTAGCAGATGTTGCTGGGCGTACGGCTTGACCTGACGAATTGACTGCGGTTGCCTTTCCAGGAAACGGGTGGGGGCAACATCCCGTGCACATAATGCTTGATTTGGTTGATTTGTGTGCAGAAAAGCAAGGGCAAGTCAAACACAGCTGTCTGATTTGGAAGGTCCAGTTGCTGAAACCTCAGCCTGGAAAGCCACCTGTGGAAAACCCAGCTTCTTGGTTCGAAGCCTTCCAGCTCGTCGTTGCCCAAAGCGATTCTACCGCTGAGCTCTTCTTCCGGGTGCTGCCCCATGAGTCATCCAGCAAGGTGGTCTTTGTTTTCGAGGGAAGAAGCAACTTTTTGGGAGCAGCGGCAGCAGTGGAATGTATTTCTTATCTTTGAGGATTAAATATTAAAAAGCTTCAATGTGGGAGAAAGGAAGTAACGTAAGGAAAGGACAAGGTAAAAGATAATCACATGAGATGAACAAAGGCATGATAAAAGCTTAGGAAATAGAATGCCTTTATCTGTTTCCTTTCTCCTTCATCTTTTCGTTCATCCCCTCCAATCAAATAATCCTGGAAATTGGAAGCAAAAAGGCCCGTGAAGGGGGGGGTCCTTTTTGTGAGCTGGAAAACCAAAGCGAAACGGTCACCGACTTGAAGAGAAACTGATACGAATGGACGAAATCCATTTCGTACCACTCTGAAGCCATGGTTGAAAGCATTGTTGAGGTATTAAAAAGGATTTCGGAATCGAAGGCTGAATGTAGAAATCCGCACCCAGGAACAATCGCATTGGGGGTGATCAGAAGGTCTTTTACTAGGATGGCCATTGGGGAAACCACCAAAAAGATCATTGGGTGTGGCTCAAAATTCGAGACCGAACACAGCCCCACTTCGCATCCACAGATGCTTCTTTCAGGTGACCTGCTGAGCATCAGTGCCGCTCTGCACAGCAGCTGGCCCCGAGCAGTGAACCTGCTTCATTCGTGCGGAGTGAAGGCGAGGGCTTAATTTGACGGTGTGTACTGGCGCCAAGTTTGTTCAACTTTTTGTGGAAAGGTTTTCCTTTGAACTTAACGATGTCCCTTTTTCCCATGGCCGCTGGGATCTGAGGCGTGGCTACTGGCGCCAAGTGGCAAAGAATGTGATTTTCGTACTTCCCAACAAAACGGTTCCAATGCCGAGTTGGTGGGGCCACGCTCCTGCTTGGCTTTGTAGACGAGGGACCCCATTTTTGTGTTGGCCGTGTTCCGCCCAAGCATCTGCTGCCGGAGTCTGTTTTTGGTCCCAGGCCAACGCAGTTCCAAGGGGCCCGGAAACAAAGGACAGGCAAAATCCACCCGTGAACTCAGGCGCTGTTGACTTCCTACATTCAAATGCCGCTCTCGCCACTGGCACATTCCGTTTGGAGCAAGAGGGAGTTGGGGCCTCAAGTCTGAAGCTGCTGAAGGTGGTTCGAATGTCTGGCGCATTCCGCGATCCGCAGACACATGCCTCTCCAAGAAGGTGGCAGAGATTTGGCCTGCCACTTTTGCGCTATATGCAATGACCCTCACAGAGGTGCCGCAATGGAGCAGGACTATGTTTCGCTTTGCACCTTACACTTCATGCATTCCCACAAATCGTCCATGTCCAGACGGTTAGTGTGAGCGCATTGCCCAACAAAACGATCAAATGGCGTCGGGTTGTCCTTTTCTTCCATAAAAGCAAGCCACACACCACGCGTAGATTTCAGAATCACGTGCGGTGCTCAACCTGCCAGATGGACATCATCGCTTACGACATGGCCCTCACCGCCTGCGAAAGAGGTCGCCAAGGCTCGAAATCACCATGTCACACTCCTGGCACTGCTCTCATGATCCATCGCTAGTTCGCATGCAGGACCCAACCTGCAAGTTCGGCATTCTGTGGTTTCATTCCACATTCAAATTCGAATGAGCCAGGGAGGATTGCTTTTTCGCTGGAGGTTGAGGACAGGGGTCACACGCCTTCCGTAGGAGACATGTTCCTCCAGATTTTGGAGGAGCTGCAGCAGCCTGATTTTTATGCTGAATTGGCACGGGGAGTGCAAAGGAAAATGGCCGCATGCTTGGGCTTAGCTCATTCCACGCCCGTTTGGCCGAAGGCAAAGCAACGTGGCTTTCTTCAGGCTGTTGCATTTCAAGTAGTTTGGTTTAATAAACAAGACAGAGCCCACGAACCAGCCTACTGCGCAAACAATGTTTTTCAGCTTGTAAAATGCTACAAAGCTGCGATTTTCAATCTGGAGCTGGACATCTGCGCTTCGCGCGCTAGACTTGTGCTACAAAATTGTGATTTTCCTGCCGGAGCTGGTACTTCGCGCATTAGACTTGCGCTACACAGCTGGGATTGTCCAGCTAGAGCTGAAAACCTGTACTTTGCGTGCTAGACTTGTACTACAAAGTTGCGATTCTCCAGCTGGAGCTCAAAACCTGTACTTCGCGCACTATATTTGCACTTCAAAGTTGCGATCTTCCAGCCAGAGCTGGAAACTTGTACTTCACGCACTATACTTGCACTACAAAGTCTGCACACTTCACGCACTAGACTTGTATTTCAAAGTTGCAATTCTCCAGCTAGAGCTGGTACTACAAAGTCGCGATTTTCCAGCTAGAGCTAGAACCCTCCTGTACTTCGTATACTACACTTGTACAACAAAGTCGCGATTTTCCAGCTGGAGCTGGAAACCCGTACTTCGCGCACTAGACTTGTCAAAATTACGATTTTCCAGCTAGAGCTGGAAACCTGTACTTCGTGCGCTAGGCTTGTACTACAAGGTTGTGATTTCCAGCTAGAGCTGGACTTCGTGTACCTGTGCTTCCAGCTCTTGTATTTGTAGTACAAGAGCTGGAAGCCTGTACTTCTACTACAAAGTTACGATTTTCGAGCTGGAGCTGGGCTCTACATATCTGTGCTTCGCGTATTAGACTTGAACTACAAAATCGCGATTTTCTAACTGGAGCTGGAAGCTTGTACTTCGCACATTGGACTGGTACTACAAAATTACGATTTTAGAGTTGGAACTGGAAACCTGTACTTCGTGCATTATACTTGTGCTATAAAGTTACGATTTCTAGCTAGAGCTGGAAACCTTGTACTTTACGTACAGGACCGGCACTACAAAGTTGTGATTTTCCAATGCGTACTAGATTTCTGAGCGACTTTTCTGAATAACACTTCTGATTGACACTTCTGAGCGATAATTTTGAGCGATACTTGATTAATACTTCTGAACCACATTTTTTCTGATTGACACTTTTGAATAACACTGTTGAACGACACTTTTTCTGATCGATTTTTTTGATCAACATTTCTAATTCATACTTCTGAACGATATTTTTTTTAATCGATTTTTTTGAGTAACACTTTTAATTCACACTTTTGAACGACACTTTTGACGGACACTCGACCAATACTTTTGATTGATATTTTTGAACGACAATTCTGAGTAATTATTTCTGATTGTTTTTGTGATCGACATTTTTGAATAATATTTCTGATCTGATCGACTTTTCTGAACTATAATTTTGATCGATACTTTTGAATAATATTTTTGATCCATACTTTTGATTGATATTTCTGATCGATAAATTCAGTAATACTGCTGAGCCATACTTCTGGCTGACCCTGATGAGTAATACTTCTGATCTAAATTCTGAATAGCACTTCTAACTAACATTTTAGAGCCATATTGCTTATCGATATTTTTGAATGATATTTATGAGCGATACTATGGATTTGATACTTTTGAACAATACTGCTGAATTGACACTTTTGAGACTTCTGAATAACTTCCGAACAAGACTTCTGACCGACACTTTTGAGGAACTCGTTTTATTAACACTTCTGAACAACAATTGACACTTTTAAACGAACTTTTTGAACGATATTTGATTAACATTTCTCAATTATATTTTTTTTGATACTTCTGCTCGACAGTGAGTAACACTACTAAACCACATTTTTGTTTGACATTCATTAGCAAAATATTTGATCTATACTTCTTATCGATAATTCTGAATAACACTTTTGAACGACACTTTTGATCTATGCTGTCCTCATCCACACTTCTGAACGACACTAACTTCTGAGCAACACTTCTGATTGATCTTTCTGAACGATATTATTGAGCCATATCTGATTAACATTTTTGAATTATATTTTTGTCTGATTAATATTTTTGAATAACACTTTTGCACGACACTTTTTTTGATCGATTTTTTTGAACAATACTTCTGATCGATTTTGCTGATCGATATTTTTGAGTAACACTTTTGAACCATACTTGTGATTGATATATTTGATCGATAATTGGAATAATACTACTATTTTATATTTTTGATTGGTATATTTTGATTTAAATATTTTATTAATATTTTTGACTAATATTTTTGATCGATATGTTTGATCGATATTTTTGATGAATTGTTTTTATTAATATTTTTGAATAATAATTAAAATTTTATAATAATATTTCTATTAGTAATCTATTTCAATCATATTTTTGAAAAATTCTTGATTGATTATTTTTGAATTATATTTGTTTTTGAATAATATATTTGAATAATATTTGGTTTGATCGTTTTTTTGAGTTATGTTTTTGATGGATAATCTTAAAAAATTATTGAAGTATATTAATAATTTTGAATATGTTTATTTAATATTTTAAAATTATATTACTCATCGATATTTATGTATAATATTATTGAATGAATATTTTTGAAATTTCTTCATAATATTTTTGATTGATATGGTTGATTGATATTTTTGAGGAATCTATTTTAGTAATTCTGTTTAATATTAATTG